ATCGCCGGTTCATCCAGGGATTTTCCAAAATTGCGGGTCCACTTACTCATCTAACTAAGAAGAATGTACCATTTGTATGGGATGATTCTTGTCAGACTGCTTTTGCTGAATTGAAGAGTAAGTTAACTTCTGCACCTGTCTTAGCCACACCACAGAGTGGAATCGAGTATTTAGTATTTACCGACGCTTCTCTGAAGGGTTTGGGTTGTGTGTTGATGCAAGAAGAGCGACCAGTTTCTTATGGGTCTAGGAAGCTTAAGCCTCATGAGCTTAATTACCCGACTCACGACCTAGAGCTCGCCGCAGTGGTTTTTGCCTTGCGTATTTGGAGACATTATCTTTTGGGGGAGACTTTTCGATTGTTTAGCGATCATAAGAGTCTACAGTATTTGTTCACACAGAGGGAACTGAATATGAGACAACGCAGATGGTTGGAATTCGTGAAAGACTATCACTTCTCTATTCAGTATCATCCAGGGAAAGCGAATGTTGTAGCAGACGCACTCAGCCGCCGACCCTATGTCAGCCTTTCAGCTTTGTTTACAACAGAGTGGGATGCTTTGAAGACGGTTGATGAGTTAGCAGACGCTTTTATGGCATGTGTGGTAGTAACTCCTTCTATCATTCATCAGGTCATTCAAGCGCAACTCTCAGATCAACAGTGTATTGATCGGGTTTCGGAGTTAGCCTCCGGAGATGTTCCTTTTTATTCTATAGGGACTGATGGAGGATTGAGGTACAAGGGACGTTTAATTGTGCCTTCAGCTGATAATTTGAGAAATGTTGTGATGAGAGAGACACACACTTCTCAGTTCTCTGTACATCCAGGGGGAGACAAGATGTATCAGGACATGAAACGCCAGTTTTGGTGGGCCGGCATGAAAAGAGATATAGCTATCTTTGTCTCTAAATGTAGCACCTGTCAGATGATTAAGATTGATCATCAGAGACCGCCAGGATCGTTACAGCCACTTCCCATACCAGAGTGGAAATGGGAAAGTATTTCCATGGACTTTATAGAGGGATTACCTACTTCACAGCATAATCACAACTCTATTTGGGTCATTGTTGATAGATTGACCAAGTCCGCTCACTTTCTGCCTGTTCGTTCAAACTTTACGTCAGAACAGTATGCTAAGCTGTATATTGCAGAAATGGTGAAACTTCATGGTGTACCATTGTCCATCGTATCAGATAGAGATCCGAAGTTTGTATCAGGATTTTGGAGGAGCTTTCAGCAGGCTTTGGGTACAGAACTATATCTTAGCACTGCTTATCATCCTCAAACAGATGGACAGACTGAGCGAGTTAATCAGATTTTAGAAGACATGTTGCGGGCATGTGTTCTTGATTTTAAGGGCAATTGGGAGGAATATTTGCCGCTTTCAGAGTTTGCTTATAACAATAGTTATCAGAAAACTATTGGTATGGCACCATTTGAGGCTTTGTACGGTAGACCGTGTAGGTCTCCTGTCTGTTGGCTTGGAGTTGGTGAGAACAGCTTTTTGGGTCCTGAATTTATTAAGGACACGTCAGAAAAGATCGCTATCATTAGGGATCGGATGCGTACAGCTCAAAGCAGACAGAAAAGTTATGCTGACCGTCGAACTCGTGCTTTGGAGTTTAAGGTTGGTGATCAGGTTTTGCTTAAGGTTTCTCCTATGAAGGGAGTAATGCGGTTTGGGTCAAAGGGTAAGTTATCGCCTCGTTTTGTGGGTCCTTTTATGATTACAGATCGGATTGGGGCAGTAGCTTATCGTCTGGCTCTACCAGATAATCTTCATAGGGTACATAATGTTTTTCATGTATCTATGCTGCGAAAATTTCTACGGGATGAAGATCGATACCAACACATTGATGTGGGTGAGATTGAGTTGCAACCCGATGCAACCTATTTGGAACAACCTTACTGTATTCTCGATCGTAGGAATCAGATACTGCGCACGAAGACTATTCCATTAGTACGTGTACAGTGGAGTCATCATAGTGCTACAGAGTCTACTTGGGAACGGGAAGATATTATCCGTGCCAAGTATCCAGAACTTTTTAAGACAGGTATGTAGTGAATTTCGGGGACGAAATTCCTTTATTAGGGGGGGAGAATGTAATACCCCGTAATTTTAAAGAATGTATTTAAATTAATTTTGTGTTAGGTTAATTAATTTTATTTATTTGTGCATACTACATTATTTTATTAAATTCATTTAATTGTGCATGTAAATTAATTGTGTATGTTAAAATAGTAAATTTATTCATTTAATTGTGCATGTATTATTTTAATTACTTTTATTTGTTGATTATGTTTAATAAAGCTATATTAGTTAATTAGAGTATTATATTTGTGTTATATAGTATTATGATGATATAATGTATTATTTTGTAATAATAATAATTATATTAGTTTAATAATAATAATAATAATAATAATATAATAATAATAATAATTATTATAAAAGTTTATTAATAATAATATTAGTAATAATAATAATAATATTTATAATAATAGTATTAAACCAAAGTCATGATGAAATTAGAGATTAGGATAGGATTGCATCAATGGTTATGGTTGGAATTAAAGCCATATAGGTAGGAATATGAGAAATGGGTGAGAAGTTATTATAAATTAGATATTTGTAATATTTATATTATATATTTTGTGTATAAATTAACTAGCTTGCCTTAGAAAAAAATAAAAGGGAGTTAGAAGCAAAGTATAAATTCTAGAGAGCTATTTTATAAGAGTGAAAGGAAAAGAGAAAGAGAAAGAAGCTTGGACCGGTGTAGGCAATTTTACCCGACTACGCGCAGACCGGCGGATTTATTTTAAATCCAAAAAGGCAAGTTATTATCTACTTTTCCCCTTTGAATTAATAAATTAATTGTTTAGCTTAGTTTTATGCATAGAGCCAAGGTTTAGAGGTTAATAAATTATTAGTTTTATTTTATTCAATTAATGGAATTTTAATTATATAGGATGGTATATATTTATTTAATGTCCTATGAAATTAATAATGGCTAAAAATAATTAAATAAGACTTTAGGGATTTTTCTAGAATTTTCTAGATTTTTCCGGGCATTTTCTGCAATTTCCGGCGACCTTCCGGCGAGTTTTCCGGTCGCCGGCAGTGGGGGAGACGACCGGAGTGATCCGGTGCAACGCGGCGCACCATAGGAGGGTGTACGCGCGCATCCTGGCCATTAGTGGAGTCTGATTGATCCGGTGCATCGCGGTCCATGATACCGCGGTACACCCGGATCCGTGGACGTTGGATGGAGGAGATGTAGGTGGATTGATCCGGTGTGGCGCGCACGTAGGAAATCTGATGCAACCGACCAACCAGCACACGCCGCGTCAGCAAGGCACCCCTAGTGCGCGCGTGGCAGCGCGTGCGCGCGCGTGGGACTCTCCAGACGCGCGTGGGAGCGCGTGGCTGATGCCAGACGCGCGTGGAGGCGCGTGGGAGAGTGGGGAAGGTTAGGCTGCGCGTGGTGAGGCTCTGGGAGGCGCGTGAGGGCGCGTGTGGGGTCCCTACAGCTGCTGGAAATTACCAGAATACCCTTAGGGCCTGTTTTGTAAATTCCAGAACCTTAAACTTGGATTTTTAGGTACTGTGTTGGTAATTACGGGTTTAACGGGCCACGAAATTATTATTTTAACACCCGTTACTTATTCTTATGGCCGATTAATCTTTTCTAAGCATTTATTGGCTCGTTCGCAGTACGGATACTAATGTGATTTATTTAACGACATTGTTAAATATAAAAAGTGTTATTATCGTATTTAATGGTATCAAACATTACTGTTAAATTAAATAAGGCCATGGTTTTAGTCAGATAAATTATCCATGATATCTTATAGGATGTTTATACTGTTAATTGATATATAAACCATGATTATTATGCTGTGTGCATTTCAGGAAATAAATGGACTGTTTAATTATGTCGCATTTATATTATATGGATGTGTTGCCATATAGAACCATATGAGCTGGCTAATAAGTTTAGACTCATTTATACCTTATGCATTCGTTGCGATAGACAGATGTGTGGCTGTCGGGGTATGTGGTTTAATATTATTGGCATGTGTTGCCTAACTGACATACTTGGTATATTTATTAATATTATTGGCATGTGTTGCCTAAATTGACATTCTCGGTATCTTTATTAATATTGTTGGCATGTGTTGCCTAATTTATATGCTCAGTATATTCATCAGTACTTTGCGAGGTGTTATCACTGTGTAGTTCGTTATAGTCTGTGTTGTCAGTACCGTGCACCATGTATAATAGCTGATTTCCCGGGTAGGGAAAGGCGACACTTAACCACCTAGTGTGAGTCTAAGTGATCACCGTCTATTCTGGTTGAGGTCATGTTATACATCGGATAGTTCCCGTAGGATGTATACAGATATAGTACTCATCCGATTCATAATGATTAATTTATTTGATTCTCTGATTTGGGTCATAGTAGAGAGGACTTGCTCGTGGGGTTGACCCACCATTGTTGTTATTTCAGGATACGGTCAGTATCCGTTTCAAGGCTGAGGTTAGCAGTGTGGGACCATCATCCGAACTCATCTACTCTTACGATCCAGTGCAGGGTAGAAGTTTTATGTAATACTTCAGTTTCAGTTTTTATTTACTTTTGACGTTGAACTCTCAGGGTTATATTTAAGGATCCCTGACGTAGGATTTCCAAGTTGTAATGAAGTACTGCATTAAATAAAGGTTGGATGGATGTTGTATTATTTAATGTTTCTTTCCTGTCTAAATTCTTTTAATTCCATCATTTTGTATTCCATGCTTGTATATTGCCAATTGTTTTTGATATCCCTCGTTTTTCGTGTATAAGCCTGATCAACTTATGCGTGGAAAATGTGGGGGTGTTACATCTTGTGGAGCAAGTCAAACTCAGCTGCATACTCGTTGTATCGCTTGTCGAACAAAAGCGTTTCAAAATGCTTGAAAAACTCTAACAGTGCATATTATCTCGCTAAGTACTGTTTTAAGCGAGTATTGAAGTTCTCAGTAAGCTGTGTAGTACGCATACCAGCCGACCACACATGTTTGACGTATGCCTTGGCCCATACATGTTTCAAACCAAATAAGTTGGCCAACCAGTTGTTATTCTCTACAGCAAATTCCTTTTCCATTAACGCCCATTCCACCAAGAATTCTTCCTCACCCTCAATCTCGTACATTAATTTTGATATCTCACTTTTTATGCCTTTCTCACCAACAGACAAATTCCCAAGATTCTTTTGGGCATTTCGCATTAGGTGCCATGTACATAGAAGGTGTTTTATATCAGGCATGACCTGGACTAATGCCTTTACCATTGCAGTGTCTTGGTCGTTCAAGATCGTGCTTGGTGCTTTATGGGACATGGCTTTCAAGAATGTATTGAATAACCAACCAAAAGAATCGGTTGTCTCATCATACATGAAAGCTAGTCCAAACACAACTATCTCCCGGTGATGGTTCAAACCGAGAAAAACTGCAAAAGGCCGATTCCCATGAACAAGTTTGTACGTGGTATCAAATGTCACCACATCTCCAAAATGCCCATAATCTGATATCATTTTTGAATCGGCCCAAAATATATTTGTTATCATTACATCACTGTCCAATTGCATGGCATAGAAGAATGATAGATCTTCCGAACACTGTGTCTGAAAATAATTTATTAGCCAATTCGCATCACCAAGTTCAAGGTCGTTCTGTCTTCTCATTCGAATATAATTTTGTACATAAACCTTAGTGAAGCCAATACTTTCTCTACCACCAGCTTGCCTTGAACTTAACTCAAAGGCTTTACGAATGGGTATTCCACAATCGGCAGCCAACTCCATATCAATAGCTTGCACTAACTTGATTTTTCGTTGCAACGGCATCATGTGGGCACACTCCTCACTGATGAGGGGATGGTTGTGAGTATCTTTAAAATCTTTGACAATGTACTTATCAAATTCCATATTAAAGGCAATAAGCATGCGTGCACGACAATCAGTGCGTGTTTCAGCCCTTCGATTCTTTGTTTTCCTGTCCCTCTTGTCCTCACCTCTTTTTCCCTCCTTGCTACACACAAAGTTTCTAGATGTCACTTTTTCATCCTTCCGACTGTTGTTTTTGTACTCTCTCCGAATACTAAAACCCACTCTTCCACCATATTCATTGTAAAAATCATAAGCAACTTCTTCGGAATCAAACTGAATGTCAACACAGGGTATCCATTCTACTTCAGGAATTTCACAGACTGAATCACTATCTGTCTCTTCAATATTAATAATTGCCTCTTCAATAGCCATAATTATAATAGCAGACCTACAAAAACATCAAAAAGTAAGTATACCTTAATAGTACAACATTTATATGACATATGTCAACACTTTCATAAATACAACATCACATCTTTCACCTAATATATCCACATAAAATTTACTTTTACACTACTATCATGCATTACCATTCATGCAAGAACTTTTTAACATGTACCATATGTTTCCATCACAAATATATCTAATATATTTCAACTGTACATTAGATATGCAAACAATTGGTGGTAAACCAATTGTTTGCATATCAATACCTTCATGCATCCATTTCCTAACATGTGCAATATGTTGGTACATGTAATACATGTAACATACTTCAACTGTACACTAGATATGCAAACTATTGGTGACAAATATAAAATTACTTTGACAGCACAACTTTTGTATAATATATGTCAGTTGTTTCATAAATACTGCATCATATATTTCACCTAACATATTACATATCAAATTTACTTCTACACTACTATAATGCATTACTATTCATGCATCCATTTTCTAACATGTGCCATAACAAATGCATCTATCATACTACAATTGCACACTACATATGCAAACAATTGGTGGAAAACATAATTTTACAATCACAGCATAAGATTTATACAACAGATGTTAACACTTTTATAAATATATCATCACATCTTTCACCTAATATATTCACATAAAATTTAGTTTTACACTATTATAATGCATTACCATTCATGCAAGCACTTTCTAACATGTACCATATGTTGGCAGATCAAATATATCTAACATATTTCAAGTGTACACTAGATATGCAAAGAATTGGTGGCAAATATAATTTTACATTCATAGCACAACCTTTCTATAACATATGTCACCAGTTTCATAAATACAGCATCACATATTTAAAATAACATATCCACAAAAAATTTAGTTGTACACTATTATAATGCATTAATATTCAAACAAAAACTTTATAACATGTGGCATATGTTGCCATAACAAATAAATGTAACATACTTCAAGTGTACACAAGATATGCAAACAATTGGTGGCAAATATAATTTTACATTCACAGCACAACCTTTCTATAACATATATCACCAGTTTTATAAATACAACATCACATATTTTACCTAACATATCCATAGAAAATTTAGTTGTACACTACTATAATGCATTAACATTCAGCCAAGAACTTTGTAACATGTGGCATATATTGCCATAACAAATAATGTAACATAATTCAAGTATACACAAGATATGCAAACAATTGGTGGCAAATATAATTTTACACTCACAGTACAACCTTTCTATAACATATGTCACCAATTTTATAAATACAACATCACATATTTCACCTAATATATCCACATCAAATCCAATACTACACTACTATAATGCATTACCATTCATGCATCCATTTTCTAACAGGTTGCATATGTTGCCAGATCAAATGCATATAACATACTTCAACTGCACTTTAGATATAAAAACAATTGGTGTCAAACATAATTTGACTTTCTCACCACAACTTTTATATAACACATGTCAACAAGTTTATAAATACAAAATCATATATTTGACCTAACATGTCTATTAAAAGTTTACTTGTACACTACTATAATGAATTACCATTAATGTAACTTTTTTCTAACATGTGGAATATATTGCCATAACAAATACATCTAACATAATTCAAGTTTAAATTAGATATGCAAACAATTGATGGCAGACATAATTTAACCTTCACATCACAACTTTTTTTATAACATATGCCAACAGTTTCATAAATACAACATCATATCTGTCACCTAACATATTCAGATAAAATTTACTTCTACATTAATATAATGCTTTACCATTCATGCAACCATTTTCTAACATGTGCCATATATTAACAGATCAAATTCATATAACAAACTTCAACTGTACATTAGATATCAAAACAATTGGTATCAAATATAATTTGACTTTCTCACCACAACTTTTATATAACATATATCAACAAGTTAATAAATACAACATCACATATTTGACTTAACATATCCATTAAAAATTTACTTGTACACTACTATAATGAATTACCATTAATGCAACTTTTTTCTAATATGTGGCATATGTTGTCATAATAAATACATTTAAGATAATTCAAGTTTTAATTAGATATGCAAACAATTGGTGGCAAATATAATTTGACCTTCACATCACAGCTTTTTTATAACATATGCCAACAGTTTCATAAATACAACATTATATCTTTCACCTAACATATTCACATAAAATTTAATTCTACACTAGTATAATACTTTACCATTCATGTAACTATTTTCTAGCGTATGCCATATATTAACAGATCAAATTCATATAACAAACTTTAACTGTACATTAGATATCAAAATAATTGGTGTCAAACATAATTTGACTTTCTCACCATAACTTTTATATAACATATGTCAACAAGTTAATAAATATATCACATATTTGACCCAACATATCAATTAAAAATTTACTTGTATATTACTATAATGAATTACCATTAATGCAACTTTTTTCTAACATGTGGCATATGTTGCCATAACAAATACATCTAACATAATTCAAGTTTAAATTACATATGCAAATAATTAGTGGCAAACATAATTTTACCTTCACAACACAATTTTTTTATAACATATGTCAACAGTTTTATAAATACAATATCACATCTTTCACCTAATATATCCACATAAAAATTTACTTCTACATTGCTATAATACTTTACCATTCATGCAACCATTTCCTAACATGTGTCATATGTTAGTAGATCAAATACATCTCAAATACGGCAACTGTACACTAGATATGAACACAATTGGTGGAAAACCTAACATACGCACATATAATTGACTTCTACACTACTATAATGCATTACCATTAATGCAACCGTTTTATAATATGTGGCATATGTTGGCAGATCCAATACATCTAACATACTTCAACTGTACACTTCATATGAAAATAATTGGTACAATACATATTTTGACCTTCACAGCATAACTTTTCTATAACATATGTCAACGCTTTCATAAATACATCACATCTTTCAATATTTGGGATATACAAAAACTATTCTACAATTTTATTCAAACTGAAAAGTAATATTCTGTAAAGTTTAGGATTGAACAAGACTAAAACAGATAAATATGGACATAACATTAGCACAAGAATAAGCTTCAAAATGGTATATGCATATACAATCCTAAACTTTTATTATAATTGATGACTAATAGAGTTCATTCATAAATAAAGTTATTTCACAAAGGTTAAAACAGATAAATATGGACATATCATATGCACAACAACAAGCTTCAAAATCTGGTATATGCATATACAATCCTAATTTTTTTTTTTCACTGATGACTAATAGGGTTCAGTCAGAAATAGAGAACAAGGCTAAAACAAATAAATAGGAATATAAAATACGCATAAGAACAAGCTTTCCAATTCTCAGGTTGCTTGAAAATAAGATGAATTCATGCTCATCAGGACTAACAACCCAACCTTCAGATTTTTGGATTACCAATAATCAATACCGGTTTGATATATTATTGTGAATAAAGTTACAAGAAATTTAAAAATAATAACCTAATACTTATAATGATCAGAGCTTCAGCTTCTCGCCGGACTGGATGATCGGAGCTTCAGCTTCTCACCGGAATGGATGATTGGACCTTCAACTTCTTGCTGGACTGGATGATCGCAGCTTCAGCTTCTCATCGGAAGGGATGATCGCAACTTCAGCTTCTCGTCGGAAGGATGATCGCAACTTCAACTTCTCGCCAGAATGTATAGTGATTTTTCCGAACGGAGCTTCTGAACAGGGAATTTCTCTTCAAAAATCTTTATCTTTATGTGTCTAATGTCTTGGTTGCCTTCTTTCTCGGTTTCTCTTTCCCTTAAAGTTCAGTTTAGATGTTTGAGAAGAGAGTTCTTGGTTTACAGAGTAGAGGCATATTTCAGAATCTGTATATATATATCAGTATCAGTTTTGGGGGCAACCTTAATTTTGGTTTTGGGGGGAATTTTAACTTGAAAATCAAATACAGGTATCATGTATTATGTAAAGAAAGGGTACAGAAAGGGTATAAGCAAAACTACAGGTACGATGTATTATATAAATAAGTATGTACATAAAAACTACAGTAACTACCCATTTTACCACCTTTGCCACATCAGCCGAAGGGCCCAGCACTGGATAGGTTCCAGTGAGATGCGAATGGAGAGGATTTCTTTCTGTTTAGGTTAGGGTTTGAGAGGGGAAAGAGAAGAAGAGAGTGAGGAGAGAGAAAAATTGGATTTTTTGGATGGGTTTTACCCGATAATCCATTTAAACATATTTGATCCAAGGGTATTTAAGTCAATCAAAATTTGTTGTATTGCTTAAATTGATAATTTAATGTGTTCAAGGGTAATAAAGTCAATTCACTATTGTCATGATTTTTTTTTTATTAACTTTATCAAACTTAAGGGATGTCATTATCCAAAAATAGGCCAAGTTATATATAAATGTCCTTACAATAAATCTCAGGAGTAGTCATTGCACATAACCCTAAATTAAAAGCGCAAGATTACACTAAGAAATGTAAAGTCATGACATGAAATGAAAAAGATAAATAAAGTAACGATGTTGATGTATTGTCAGGAGAGGAGGGGTTCAAATGCCTTCACTTTTACTATTTATAGAATTTTAAATGAGCAATTTCTTTTACATTGTAACTGTTAATAGCCAATAAATGGGCCATATTCTCCTACAACCTGGTAACAAGTCATTTTCTTTTCTATTACTAACAGTCTAGTAACTGCCAATAACGGTCCACCATTTTCTCCAACTTCCAACTTCTAAAGTTTACACCTCACAACCTTCTGGGGTTCTCAAATTTAGGATCATAGTCCAAATATAATAATATATGAATGACATTCAGGCCATAATTAAAAGACAATATATACTTATATATGATGTAAATTTATGGCAATAAATAACTTTTAAAAAATATATATTTATGACTATAAACACACTTATAATATCAATTTATATATGTTATACATATACCTTGTTTCTATCCCCTGCATTTAAAAGAAAAGAAAAAAAGAATTTTTTATATTTAAATTCACAAGGTGATTTATTTTATTATTATATTATTATTTTTGGCCTCGGGTGTTACCCCCCAAATTATTACAAAATTTCAGTCTTGCGCTCCTTACCTAAAGTTCTGGGTTCAAAATCAACTGTCACATTTTTCAAAATAATCTTGTCAGATCTACTAAAATATGACATGGCTTTTTATATTGATGAGATAGAATTATTTTCAGAGTTATAACTCTTAAGAGAATTTTTACCAAGAAGAACAAAAAAGACCATTGAAGTATTTGATTTTATATAAAGGTTAAGTTATTATTTTTCGAATGCTTGGATTACATATAGAGTATTATTGACTATTCCAATTACATTTGCATCTGCTGAAAGAAAATTGTCAAAGTTGAAGTTGATCAAATCTTACCTACGGTCGACAATGTCATAAGAGAGATTGAATGGATTGGCCATGATATCTATTGAAAAAGATATATTGGAGAAACTTGATCGAAACACTTTATTTGATAATTTTGCAGCTATTAAAGTGCTCCAAAATTATCAATTAAACTTAATTTTGCAGCTTTAATTGATATTTTTGCAGCCACCAACGGGCCAGTGGCCTAACGGTATCAGACCTTTACTTTCCAAAGAGAGATCAGGGATTCAAACTTCCATTGAGGTATGTGTGTGTGAGTACTAAGAAAAGAATTTTATTTTTTTATTTTTTTAATTTATAATTTTGCAGCACAAAATGTAAAACGATCACATTTACTTTGATATGAAGCTAAATTTTGATTTTTGTGACTAAGTTATGTTAAATATTTCTTTTAGGTTTTTTTTATGTAAACTGGACCGTGCTCTTTTATAAAGCACCAGTGCCGAATTTTGTTTTGTGTTTTTAACATTAATATACTTTATGAGTTATTTATCATCTCAACGCACTCTTATAAATTTTGTACACGTGTGAAACGTTATAAAGAGTCTATGTTTGAAAGTTCATCCAGGTCTCTCAAAATTTTGAGACTCAGACCCACAGTGCCTAAAAATCTTCCATTGTTTGTAGGCTGATTACATAGTAATCGGCCACATTTCAGTCTTAGTAATGGGCTACAATTGTGGTACAAACACAACCATCGAATGCAACTCAAAAAAAAAAAAAAGGAAAATAAAAACTGGATGTAGAGGTAGCCACGCCACCAGAGTGCACCGCACCCACTTTATCCATATTTAGAAAAAGATCGAAGGTTTTGCACGTAACGCCAATAAAATAATATATATATATATATATATATATATATATATATATATATATATATGACTGATGAGCGCCTGCAATGGCTTGTAATTGCAAGGAACCCAGTTGCAATCACCTGGCAATATTCATACAAGAGTAAGTCCGTACTACTAGTTAGTCTAGGAAATATATTGAAAAGAGAAGATTTGCATTCAGCTACCACACCTAAAATGGTGATAAAGGTCGAGGTAGATACACGTCAATATAAATTGACCAACATACAATCATGTTTAAACATGTACTAGGATACATTTCAAAATAATTAATTTTGGCCAAGTATAGTATATGCTAAATTAGAGTTCACCCAAAATACTCAACATTGTTGATTGCAGTAACATATTTTAATTCCAACAAAAAATTCAAACACAACTATAATGGCTTTCTCCAAATTTCCATTGCCTTCATCTTCTAACCACCCACATAGAAATCTTACACACAGAATTCCTTGCCGCTTTTACTGTTTGGGTTGAATGCAAACAGGCCACTGCCACTAGCGCGATGCATACCTGGCCCACGTCACATCCCTGTGTGTGCTTCAAAGGTAAAAGGAGTGGCAGCACTAACAGAAGTTAACATCCATCCATCCATCCTGATTGTGTGATCTCAACCAATTGACATGTTCATAAACCGAAAAGCTTTTTGCTTATACCACGGATTTTGAGGAATGTCTCACGCATACCAGATCATCCAATTTATTGCCATCCATTTTGTACAGATTGACGCCTTCCATTTGAATATAGTGATCCTGTGCTTCCCCTCTAAGACTCTCAAAGGGAGTGATTTCCCACTTGCTGTAATTTGAAGACTTCCTGACATCACTCATGTCTGGAGATCCAGAGATGGGACCACTGCCATTGGGACCCACATTGCCCCACACCTTACAGCTACCGAACTGTCTCAACCCATCAACTTGACCAGTTTGACTCCTCTTCAAGCGCAATGCTGCTGCATGAGCTCTGCTTATCATTTCTCGACTTGGCACATCTGACCAGTCTTGCTTCCTCTTAGCTCTCATGGGAGAATGAATCCTGATAACCTAAAAGGTAACAACACTTAGATTAAACATGTGGCCATGCATTTGGCAAATATAATACATGATATTACGTTGTGAACACAAACTTCTAAAAACCAAATATATGTCAATATGTGTATAATACATACACCAAGGCATTCGAGGAGTTGGTAATATGCCCTTCCTTGAAGTGGATTGTGCCCCTTCCTCGGTGTGGAGAAGTATCGGGTCCTAGAGAAGGTCATGACAACAGTTAGCGCATGTGGGTTGGTGCACAGAGAGAGAAGAGAGAGAGTATCAAAGTCCTGAACATAGATATGGTGCCTGTAGATAAAAATTCTATTCAGAATTGAACTAACCATTCAGTATAGCCAGGATCTACAGTGAAACCGTATATGTCAACAATGTCACACATAGACAGTGCCAGTTCTATGGATTTCATTCCAGTTCCTTTAGCACCTCGGCGTAGCACAATACCTTGGAAGAGGTAAACCGGATTCGGGATACTCTGCAATATAGATACAAGATGTTAGTCATGCCTTCAAAAAGTTTGATTCGATGCTTCATGCAACAAATTCAACCATCAAAAGGCACCATTTGGAATTTAGAAGTAGACAATGCTGGAATCATATTCAAAAGCCCCCAATTACTGTTGTTTTTTGCGGCACAAGGTTGTACAGATACTATATTAATAACTTTTTTTTTTGATTAGTACAGATACTATATTAATAACTAATCTGCACTTTCAAAAAAATGATGGAAAATGGCAACCTTTTCGGCTTCTTTTTATTTAATTACTTAATTTGTTTTTGGGTTCCATTTTCTGGATTACAAAAAGCTTCATTCAGCTCACAACTCAAAAGTATGTATATTGTTCAACAAGAGAGAACTCTTCTTTTAGATTTAGTGATTTTATTCTCTACATGAACGAAGTACCCAGAAAAGTATGCAAACCTGAAGAATGGGTGATGCAGGTATCATCATTATCATACTCCTTGCCTTTATCCCATATAGATGGGTCGGCTACATGAATTCTCTCTTCCATTCTTTTCTACTATATATCATGTCTTCTCTTAAATCTAATTTTTTTGAATCAATTTTAATTACTTCTATCATACTCCTTGCCTTTATCCCATATAGATGGGTCGGCTACATGAATTCTCTCTTCCATTCTTTTCTACTATATATCATGTCTTCTCTTAAATCCAATATTTTTGAATCATTTTTAATTACTTCTTTGGTTCTTCCCATTTAAGTTTTGGTCGGCCTCGCTGTCGCTTACCTTCTAGACAAACCATTCTTCCTCTTCTAACTGGTGCATCATCGGGCTACGATGAAAATGACCATACCACCTAAGTCTACTTTCTCTAATTTTATCATTTATAGGCACTACAATTGGTGTTTCCCCCACACGTTCATTATTAATCTTATCTTTTGATTCTTTTCGAGTTACTCCTATCATCCAACATAACATTCTCATTTCCGCTACATGGACGCACTCGTGTCGTTTTCAACGTCCAATAGGGCATTACAGGTATCAAATATATTAATATATTGGAAGAATAACGTTGCACCCAAGTACAACCATATGCCAAATAAATACAGAATATAGAAAATACCCTAGGTCTTGCATAATTTTTTTAATATTTATTTATTTTTGTTGGAAAATAACTCACACACCCACTGTGCTATGCTCCTATGGCAAATACCTAATGACCGTAAGAATCTGGTTCTGGTCTCTATGTTTCAGATAGGCCATCATTATGGCTTAATTTATCTCTTAGACCTTCACTTGATTATCTAGTGAAAACTAATAAGTACATTGCTCCTCTGAGATGCAATCTCTTACACTTTTACCTTTATCATTGCATTAAAATCTCTGTGGGTTACACTTTTGATAATAAGCACCTCATCAGCTGCACAAGAAAAGATATAGTAAGTATTGATACATATGAATCTCTCTCATGACAATAAAATAAATAAATAAATATAAATAAAATAACTTTTATCTTAATTAGAGGACATGAGAAATGAAAGAAAATTTCATTTAGGGGAAGGTGAAAAATAGAGCTAGAACATATAGCAAAAACATTGTTCTACTATTGCATGAAGCAACCTAAAACAAACAGTTCAACCTGTGGCTTTCATTAATCATATAGGGAAAATTGAAAAGAAAAAAAATCCCTAAACTACTAAATTTTTACATATGATCTCCTTTAATTTTTCCTTTCAGTAAATTTCTCTGAGACCGCCAAGGGTTTGCACAAATCACTACTGGATTAAACCTCTGGAAAAAAAAAATTCTTTGATCCCCTTCAAAACATTTTGCATTCCCCCTTCTTCAATCAAATTGTAATTTTTTTCCAATCAAAGTTCTCTCATTCTACTTTTCTTCTTCTTCGTTCGGTTTTTTTCTTTCTTTTTTTTTTTTTTTTTTATTATTATTATTTACTCCCACCACCACCACTATCTTAATTTTCTCTCCTCTCCATCTCCTCCCACATGACCTCCATCCTCACCACTGTGCCCCCACCATCTCCTCCCACAGCCAACTGTAATCCCTCAGAATAGCACAAAGGGCTTGGACTCATTGCACATATTATCGATCATTGCAAATTGATTCTTAAGTTCCCTGAAGGCACTAAAAGCACCTTCATAAATAATAATCTGCTCCCACATAATAGAACGGGTATGATAAAAGGGAAGGTATTTTGGTAATTCTGCATTCCTGTTAATGGAGATTTTACATTTTGTCCTGATTTAGAACATTTTGATAGTTCAGTGGGTTTTTTGGCCTATCATCAACTGAGTAAACTCGGGACATCCTTACTAAGATCTAGTCTTGCAAAAGGTCTCCTTACTAAGATGTAGTCTTGCAAAAGGCTCTAGTAAAAATTCTTCCAAATAAAAATGAAGGAGAGCCACAACGAAGAAACTGATTAGGACACTGCCAAAGGAGTATAATGCTCACATTTGATTGCTGTGGATAATTAGCCATAAAGCATCTCATATCCTCCCATGATATTATTGAACTCATACATAGATGCACCTAAGCTCTATATCAATGAAATGTAATAAAGATAAAATGGCAAAAACAATTTTTAGAAGAAAAAAAAAAAAAGGAGGGGGGGGAGTGGGGGAGGAAGAATCAACTTTGTATTATTAGCAGTAACTTGTACTTACATGATCCATTGAGAATGGTAACCATGTTACGTGCAGCACCCCTTACTACCAGGCGGAAATCTCTCTTCAGCCCAACATACTTGGCATATTTCTAAAAGGCACTCATAACAGCAAAATAAATTAGTGGTTTCATAACAACTTGACAATCATCTCCCAAATAAAGCAAGTACACAATGTCAATACTCATAATCACTCAGATGAAGTAAGAAAAATAAAGAGAAAATTAGTACGACCGTTACTTGCTAGATGCAAGACAATCGTTCTAATTGATGGAAAAATTACTGTGTTACTGGACAATGGACACCAATTACAATAATTTTTTTTGCTTGACAGGTAGATTAACTGGGTAAATTCATCCCCAAAATAACAATAAAAGTTCTAGCGAAGACCAAAAAAAAAAAAAAAAAAAAAAAAACAACCGACAATCAAAGTGTTACGTTTTTTTTTTTTTCTTAGTTGGTACTCACACACACATGCCGCTACTTTACCTTAGTAACGGGCGCCTCATTATCTCGTATAACTGCATCATGACTATCGATCTCTTTCCCAAATTGTGTCTTTAAAAGGTCTCCTGAATTCCCAACAACAGCACATGTCTTAAACTGACGAGGGTGGAAGGGTGGCTTTGCTGGTAAAATTAAATTAAGGTGCTCCTCGCAAAGAGACCGATTGTAGCATTTGTCTGCACCCCTACAACCATGAAAGGAATAAATAATGAAGTGAGGAAAACTTGCTATTTAGAAGTATTCTCTTCACTAAATTTGAACTCAAACTAAGTAAGAAATGCCACGAACAGGTTAAGAAATGCAGGATGTCCGAAGATCATACAATTGTGCTATCCTTTTGGCAGCATAGTCTAACCACCCATCTGGCCGAGCATCTAGATATTCTCTCGTCAATACTGTAGTCATGTTACGATACTGCATTTCAAGAAATCTGAGTTTAAATTATGTCCTTGAATAGCAACTAGTGCAAGGCACGACCATTATAACCAACCTGCTCCCACAATAGAATTGCCTCGCAAACATCATACTTGTACTCTAAAGGTTCATAGATCTTAAACTGCTCATTGTACTGCAAGTGAAGACCAAATATCAGATATCAAATTAAAATGCATCCAGAAGAGAGGTGGGGAGAGAGAGAATAAAACGAAGAGGCAGACCCAGGTGCTGTTAGTGCCTTCGGGGAACTTAAGAATCAATTTGCAGTGATCAATAATATGTGCAGTGAGTCCAAGCCCTCTGCTTGCCTACATACATTTTCAAGGTTAGTAAGGACTAAAGAAGACCAAACCCATACCTACATATGATACACACACACACACACATATAGGTGTTAGGATTTATGTCTCAAATTCTAGTTTACTTAGGTGTCTATTTAAGAGGTGTTTTATTAGGTAATTTCTTGGTAGACATTCCTTGTCCAACAAGGAATTAGGTTTTGACTCTATAAATAGATACCTAGGTTGAGGCTTGAAAGTTATGAGTGGAGAGACATGTAGCCCGTAAGGGCAGCCTCGTGCAGGGACGGAGCCAGGAAATTGTGTGAGAGGGGGCGATAGTGTAATTTTTTAGTAATTTTAGTGGGGGCGGTTGTGTAATTTTATAAGTATATATATCAAAATAAATAAAATAGTGGGCTATATTACTAAAAGTAAAAAAATTCAGTGGGGGCAATTGCCCCCACTGACTTGTAGATAGATCCGTCCCTGGCCTCGTGAAGGAGTTGTGAGTGAGTTGATGGGTGGAGGATTAGGTTTAATTTGAAGAAGATCCAAAAAACACAATGCATCTCAACAGGTGTTACACGGGTTTCAGTGGCAGGTGGAGTCAATCAATCAACTTGTTTGATCATGATAGTTAGAAAATCGTGATGGTTACGTTACATGGCATGGAGATCCAGTAGTCAAGATGGAGCCTTTGAGGTTTGACTCATCGAGTAGCGTACTATGGGGACAATTAGAATTTTGCAAGAGGATTATGACATCCAGACATGCATTTTGAATAGCAAAGAGGAACTGAGTCCTTGGTGAAAAACCTTAAATCAGATTGGGCTATAGGAATGGTGGTAATCCGGTTTGGGTGCAAGATTGAAGCTGCAACGAATTGTCTTGATCAATGCTGTGGGAAGCACTGATTGGCATGATAGAATTTGAGCCAAGCTGGAAATTCTTAGTAATTATGTCTCAAGTGCTAGTTTAATTAGGTTTCAATTCTAAAGGTGTGTTTTATTAGGTAATTTCTTGATAAAGAAGTCTTGTGCTTCAAAGAATTGTAATCTTTGTCCAATAAGGAATTGAGTATTGGCTCTATAAATACCCAGTGTTATTAAAGGCTCAAGGCGCTAGAGGTCCATTGGAGCCTAGACGCACGACGAGGCTCACGCCCGAGTGAAGTGAGGCACACAATTGAAATTTAAAACTACCATAAAAACATCCTTATCTCATAAGTCATATCAATATTCTAAAATTATTATCAAATATAAAAAATTATATCCATCAACCATATAAGCATTCAAGAACCATAAAACAGAGCACAAATTTGTTTTCTTGAAAGGCAAAACAAAATTTGTTTTTTTAAAAGGCAAAACAGAGAGCAAAAAGAAATAAATCTATTAACCAAAAAGAAAAAATAATAACTATTAACAAGAAAAGGAAGGGAAAAAAAAACAGAGCCAGGAAAAAAAGACGCAAAGACAAAAGAAGTATATGAAGATAGAGAAGTAGATAAGAAGAGAGATAAAGTGTTAAAGAAGAAAAAACAGAGCCCAAAAAGAATTAAAAAAAAAAAAAAGGACAGAGAGAGAAGAGAACTAGACGCGGAGAGAAGTAAACAAATATGAAAAGAGAGGAGAAGAGAGAGAAGAAGAAGAAAGAACTGACATGCCTTCGTCGTTCGTCTCTACAACTAGGGTTTCATCGTTGGTCTCACAGTCTCACTCTTTCTATGTTCGGTTGACACTTTGACTCTTTGGCTTTCTTATTTATTTATTCTTTTGAACAAAAGTTCCTTCTCTCATACGCTTAGGCCTTTATATTAGGTTATTAAGTTGCCAGAAGTACCTTTTTGGTTTAAGAAATAGAATAATCATTTTTAAAAAAAAAGTGAGGCGCGCCTAACAAATAGGACGAGGTGCAACCAATTTGTGCGCTTGGTAAACATCAGATCCAACAGCCAACTATACACCTACACCCTGAGATCAACATCATCATCCAGTTCACACAAAGAACTCAGATGAATTAGTGAGCTACAGAACCATCTCCACTAGAGTTGAGCTTTGAACAAATTGACATATAAATTTGGGTCGCCTTACACAGATGATTAGGATGTCACTCCAACCACAGTACTGCTCTAGTAAGATCAGTATTCCGAATGGGCATTGAAACCCCTTAACAGTTTATGGCGATTCAGAGCTTTCAACTGAACTGGTCTATTGAAGAATGAAGGAATATACAAATTATGACGGCTTCAAAGTGAGAGCTGTTGAAGAAAAAATGGATATTCTTTGAAAGGCCCTCCTTTCCTTGGACAAGCCCGTAACCACTCATTCACTTCATAAGCGAAGCCTGTTCCAGACCCTTTCTATTCATAGTCAAACCCGCCATTATAAATCATTATAAATAGAGGCCTCAAAAGATAGTAGACAAACCAGAGAGATAAGGACTTTCTTTCTCACCACACCATAAATAGGAGACGGATCCCTGGGGAAGCCCTTTGCGCCGCTTCTTCACTAGTTTGTGTCCGAAAGTCAAGGATTTTTCTCAATGGGTAATCTTGTGCAACAAAAGATGATTGTAGCTACTGGATGACTTACACTTTCTATTGTGGTTGGCATGCCCCTTTCACTCAATCTCCGAGTTAGTTGGGAATAGAGGAGTTTCAAATGTCAATGGCTTTGGCTCAAGGCTCCAACTTAGGATCTTCGGGTGCCACCCTTCCTAGGGCAACCATTAGAAGAAGGAGGTCACGGACCAGGGCATATTTCTAGTCAAAGTCAAATGTCTGGTCTTCCCCTCTTTTGGCTGATAAAGCCAATGAACCCGGCGTTTTATGCAGACCCACAATGGCAATGGCAGGTTCCTAACGATGGATTGAGATGCATATCTTGAAAGCTCTTACCCGGTCTCCAACTCGAAAGGCCTCCCCGCCCATGTTAGAATAGGTGGCAAGGTTTTCATAGTGAAGGAATCTGGCCAGATTCCTTCACTAGTACGGTGTGTGTGGTTGACCCTGATACTTGATCTTTCTTTGAAGAGGAAATTCATCTATTCAATTCTGAACTTGCACTTAAGGAAGTGGAAACTAGAGTTCCACAAGAAGTCATTAGCACGAAGAAGTAGTGAAGAAACGGAACTTGAAGCCGGAGGGGTTGATCCTTACTTAGTCCCTCTTCCACCCTAAACCCTAAGTAGAAGGTTCACACTGCCTGAGACGAATTGAACGACCCGATTCTCCCTCTGGCTCACTCATATTCGTCAACATTTTTTTTTGCACAAATCTATGTTCAACCCTTAATGGAACGAAGATGTTTGAGAGGATATCGCACAAAGGGTATCTATCCATACCATAGCCGGACCCCACACCACCAGTAGCGTCCAGAAATGGAACCTGTGAACGCAATCTCACAGAATTCTACAACTAAGGACGTGAAATTAGAAACAGCTCTCCCGCCTCTGTACGCGGGGAATCTATTCGGATGTATGGATGAAACTTCAATTTCACAAAGAATATCTTGATTTTGAGCAGTGAGTTGGACGGGCTAGAAAGCTCTGCTCTATATGAATTGGCTAGTTCCGGCCGCTAGTTCATTTACCCGCAAGTCAGATGGGAGAAAAAAGGGCAATGTATGAGTTCGACTCGATCGAACCTTTCCAATCAGCTGTGAGATGGACAGCGGAATGCTCTAAGAGTCTAACTCTCAAATTTTTCTTTATTTTCCTGTGAGTTGGTTCAAAATGAGGAAAGAATCACCTTGAACCTGCGCGGTGAAAGGCTCCCATGTCTAAAATAATAGGACTTAAATGAGTGCTTCGTACTCGGCTTTCTTCTTTTCACACTCAAAGTCCAAGAAAAAAGAATTGGTAGCCTTATAGCAACAACTACGAAAGAAAATAATCTCTTATGTAGTATTGCCCCGTACTCATATTCTGTTACTCTATTTTAGGAAACAACTCCCTCGCTCCCTCATCAATCTCAGTGAGTGAAGAGGGCCCGGTTTAACAAGGCAATGCTACGTTATTAGGGAGCAGCAGAGCAGGAATATGATAAACAGCGAGGTGACTCCATTCTCAACCCCTCCACCCATGCCATGACTTTGGAAAACCCAAAGCATATTTAGGGGGGCGCGGCATCCCCACCTAGGTCGTAAGCACGGTTCACCTCAGCGGGTTCCCCCATTCGAGTGGTTTATGAAACAGGGTCAGCAACTCCTGGGGCAGCGAGTAAGGTTGCATAGTTTTAATGTTGACCTTTATTTCCTTTACTCTGGAGAGTCCTGTGCTCTTGTAGATGAGAAAGATGATCTCAAGTACCTTCCGCGCATTCAAGCAAGGGGTGAGACTACCGACCAGAGAAAATGCAATGATCAATAGCTAGCCAAATCTCTATCAATTGGGCCAGGTCCCACATACGGGGTTTCGTCTGACCTCTATTTACCTATTTCCTTTCTTTCTATTCCTTAGTTGCCTTTCTTACCACTTCAGGACCCCCGATTTTATTCTTTTTTGAGATATTGTGCCATTTGCCTGATCAATGATCAAACTAGGTCTGGCACACGGGCTTCACCCTCCCATCAAGTCACTTCCGTTCGGCCGGTAGCTCTACTAAGCAAACCCAGAACATACCGTTGGAATCGCTTAGGTCATTAAAATAACCTTCATGAATCCCTTTGAGTTCTTGGCCTTGATTGCCCTATTTCCTGATCGTCTTGAAAGTTAGCCAGAAAGGTCAGCATAGGAGTTAGCTTCGTTTAGTTTCCGTTCCGCACTTAGAAGGGGCCACCCATAGGGCCAAGGTAGGGGCTTAAACAGTGTCAACATTACCTTCCCTATAAAAAACGAACTATCATATAAAGCGAAAGAATATCTCCCTGTCTCTTGAGATGGGAGCGTATGCTTCCTCTCTCTCTCTGGATTTTCTTTCTTTTCTTTGTGCCTCTTTCGATTCCGTAGGTGTATAGATCTGAGAATTGACAGAAACAGTGTGAAAGCCTATCTCGGTCTCGCCAAAATCTCCCAATAAAGCGCTTTGTAGGGGATTGAGGAGCTAGTGGGATCCATGAATGTGGGTTCGTACTAACCTTTTCATTAAGGTAACACTTGATCAACCAATAGAGACTGCACTGATTCACGTATCTGTTGTTATATCATCTTTTCTTTCATTCGCCTTCACGCCACAAGGACGAACTACGATCTATTCGTAAAGTAAAAGGTAGAGTAGGCGTATTAGTCTGATATTGGTACTTCTTAGATATCGACACAATATCTCAAAGTACTCTTGTGGAACTCGCTCCTTTCTCCCCCTAAGTTGAACTAGAGTTGGTGGCTTCCTTGCGACGAAGTGAGCTTCTTGTTGTGCAGGTAAGGAAAGCACCCCCACCATTGGAATCAAAAGAATTCCAAGAGATTGAGAGAAAAGGCAAGAGCGACTACAAGAAGTATAGAATATGGGGATCCTACTAAGCGCAAGCACGAGACCCAAACCTAATCAAGTTTAGCCCTAGTAGGGCTGCAAATGAACCTAGTTATTCATGAACAGCTCGGGCTCGGCTTGTTAAAAGTTCGGTTCGGGCTTGTTTGTTTAGTTAACGAGCCGAGCTCGAACTCATTTTTCAAGCTCGTTTAGTAAATGAGCCGAGCTTGAGCAATGTTAAGCTCGGCTCGTGAGCTCGTGAGTAGGCTCGTTTAAATAATAATAATATTAAAAAGTTTAATCCATATATACTAGCCCAAATTCATGTTTGTTTAATTGGTGCAGTTAGTTAATTAGTAATTAGAAGCCCATTGACAAATAGAGTCCATTAAGTTAAATAGCCCACTAGCCCAACTGATTATTGATCTCAGCCATTGGATGTATATTATGTTAAAATGATTAGATGAAACCCTAAAGTACAGGCACAACCACGCTTCTGCAACCAGAACTCTTCTACGGCAATCCTCCGTTGCACCATCCTTGGCGACAGGTTGGTGTTCTCTTTCTCCCTCTCTCTCTATATTCTCTTGATGAATCCGAACTTTGCGAAGAAGATGGGTGATTAATAGATGAACTTGGAAGTCAATTCGAAGGAGATTGGTGGTGATTTTTTTTTTTTTGTGTTGAGCAGTTTATTCATTTGATAATCAGAGAAGATGGGTGACAGAGTGGGAGACGACGACGATATATACATGATACACACGAGCCCGATCCAAGCCGAGCCCGGGCTCATCAAAGAATTGCCGAGCCAAGCTCGAGCCTTGCTAGTCCAAGTTCGCCCGAGCCCGAGCACCTCTCTGACCTAGGCGAGTCGAGCCCGAACAGCCTAAAGCTCGGCTAGGCTGGGCTCATTTGCAGCCCTGGGCCCTACTACAGAGCATTTTTTGTCCCTTAAATAGCAATGCCTGATAGGCGTCGACCGTTCTCTTACGAGTGGTCTAACACCATCTTTAAAGCTTCCAATTTCCCTGTCACAAATTTGCTCAGTTTTGTTTAACATCACAAAGGAGGACTTTCTTATGGTTTCAAAGAGCTTCCTCTTATTGTCACCAAAGGGAGTGAGCGGCTGGTGGGTTAGTACCTTTAAAGCTAATCCCCTGGAAGTAAGGGTCAAGCTCCATAGGGGCTCTGCTGGCTCCAAATAAGATGTATTAGGTATAATAGGGAAATGTATATTGTAAAATATGGGCACTGCATATTCCATCCAAAGGAAGAGCCTAGGATGACAACAGGCGCTAGACATGCACCTCAAGCCTAGGCACTCCTTTAACAACACTGTAAATACCTAGGTTGAGGGTTGAGGGTGGAGAGACATGTAGCCCGTAAGGGCAGTCTCATGAGGAAATTGTGTGTGAGTTGATGATGGGTGGAGAGAGTTAGGTTTGGTAGAGTGGACACTGAAGGCAAGTGTCTTGCGACGAAAGAGTGTCTTGCAGTAGATGGTGTTAGACTCAAGTATCTCTGCCTCTGCCCTGGGAGCCATATTACATAGAGAAAACTCTAGATGAGAGTGAGTGTACATGTTGTTCCGGTGTTGGTAATTCTCTACAAATTGTAATATCTCCTCATCATTATAGTGGAATATCTTCATCTGTGGATGTAGCCCAGAGTTTGAGTGAATCACTTGTATTTTGATTTTGTTAAATGATAATGCATGTTCTTTGTTCGCGTCTGCTGCCACCCAACAAATATATGTTATATCAAAATTCATTAAAAGTGCACTCCGATATATGACTGGAAGTCACTATGCAAAATCCTGGAACATGCATTAATCTGCATAGTGTACATTTTAGTATGCTAGAACCAATGATCTAATTATAATTGTTAACAAACTGTTGATTCTAAAAACTCAACTAAGTCCAAAAGTAAATGAGGCTTTGGTATAAGATTAGATGAGGGCAAGTCATGGTTAACATTTCTAAACAAACAAACAAAGTATAACAAAAATAAGCTACTGCAACTCCATTGCATAACATTTCTACCTCAGAAATCAATACAAATTTAAAAATAAAAAATAAAAATAAATTGATGATCCATATCTATATATGTAATTTATTGAGAGATTAGGGAGAGGCGGAAAGCTAACCACGCATTGCTGAACGGTTGATTGAAAATCAGATAAGATCCGAACTTCCCCTCTGTTGATATTGAGTTTCTGGTTACCTGTAATTATACAGAGAGTAAATGAGAAATAGGGTTTTGGAAATGGGTGGGGGAGAAGTAGAAGAAACAGCTCCAAGTGAATAAAGAGAATTCAGAGATATTCTTGTCCAGATCAGTTAAAAGGAAGCAAGCAATAATCAGGTCTCTTGGCTGCAAAGTGGGTAAGCTCCCTTTCATCTACCTCGGTCTTCCCATTTCTGTAAATTGTTGCGAAGAACAGATTGTGCAAAACTTATTGACAAGGTTATGGCAACCACTACTTGGTGGAAAGGGTTCAACATCTCAATGTCTGGCAGAGTGGAGTTGTGCAGGGCTGCTATCATTCCTTTAATCCTCTACTGGACTTCTATGTATTCTCTCCCCGCTGCTGTAATTAATATCATCTGGGGTCACAATGATAACAGCCCCAAAATGCATGGATTGAAGTGGAAGAAATTGGCTGCACCCAAATCAGAAGGAGGCTTGGGTCTTTAGGCGAATCAGAGATGTGGATAATGCTATGCATGCTTGCTTGGGGTTTTCTGCTCTCTAAGGACAGGATTTGGGTGGCTTGGTGCAAGAATTGTTATATGAGCAAAGGTAAGGCTTCCTATTGGCATGTGGTTCCTAGAATGACACATTCATCGGTCTGGAAAAGCATTGTTGCAGCTAGAGATTTCATCAAACCCAGCTGTAAATTTAGAATTGATGATGGGAAGGATATTAACATGTTTCTTGATCCTTGGTGTGACGGAAAATTATTGGCAGAAATTTTTGATCACAGAACTCTTAATCACATCTCCAGAAATAAGCAGATCAGATTAAAAGAGTTTATTGTTGCAAATCATTGGGATGAATCAAAGTTTGATTCTATCACAAATGGGGTGCTTCAACTACTTCGGCAACACAAAATTCATGGGGGTGAGGACAAGTTTGGATGGTCTGCCAATCAATTCAATTTCAAATCGGCTTGGGATGTTTGTAGAACCAAAAATCAAGAAGTCTTTTGGCATGCTGTTTGCTGGAATGGGGGCCGTCCCAGATGGTCAACACATTCAGTTTTGGTGTTACAGAATTCGATCCTCACCAACAATTATCTCCTACAGAAAGGCTTTACGCTTGTGTCCAGGTGCAGCCTGTGTTATAAGAGTAGTGAAGATGTAAATCATGTGTTCTGCAGTTGTGACTTTGCTTGGAAAGTATGGTCGAGCTTGGCGTCTTACTGTCATTTGGAAAGTATGGTCGAGCTTGGCTTCTTACTGTCATTGGTCAATTACGAAGGTTCAAACTATTCAAGAGATGGCATGGGTGATTAACCAAAATTGCAGGGGTACGTCAACAAAGAACAAGATGATCAAGCTGCTCTTCTCTGCCACACTGTATTCTCTCTGGATAGAGAGGAATGATATATTGTACAATGATAAATCAAAAGACCCATCTACATTGGCTATGAATATTCTTTGGGATGTCATGGATATATTGGGAATCAGCCTCCAAGATGTCACTACCTTTTCTTCTAGCTAGCAATTTCCCCTTCTAGGATTTGGCTTCTGTCATCTGTTTTATTTTATTATTATTATTATTATTATTATTATTTTTTGTGCTTTTGTGTGAGGGTATGCACTCGGTTCTCCCTGGTATTATATTGTTTCATTTAACAGAAAATTTTCCTCCATTTAGGAAAAAAAAGTAGTAGAAGAAACAGGCGATAACTAAGTAACTAACCTGTGAAGAGAGAGGACTGTATGGCGAAAACGATGAGAGAGAAAATGGCGGCAGCGCAGAGTAGGTGAAGCAGTGCTGGTCTCTTGGCTGATGATGCCTTCAGAGCTCTCCTCATGTTCCTCTGATCTGATCCGATCCGCACCGCTCAAATCACAGATAGACAGTCGGAGAGTAAATCTGAGTCCCCACCGATCCGAGTCGGCGATTAAGATCGGAAATTGAACTAGCGCACGTGCTGCGCGTCTACAGCGCACATGCTACGACCGTCTACGTGCTTGTAAAATGTCGGTTTAGTTTTATTTTGTAATAAATATAATATTAAAGTAAATATTAATACAAAGAATAAAGAAAGAGATAAGAGGGAAAGTTGTAAATCTTTAAGCCGTTCTTAGAATCTTCCATCTCACGGCAAAATTGGTGTCATCATTTATTTTATTGTGAACTCCACACACATGCGCGTACCTATATATAACACTCTTTCTTGGGATCTACAATACTATATTAATAATATGCCTCGTTAAAATCTTGCTAAGAAAAATTTAGTAGGATAAAACCCTAGCGAAGGAAAAAGAGCATAGTATTCTTTATGTATCTGAAAATGATATTGCATAAATTAAAAACTGCTTCATTAAAACCTTGCTAGGAAAACCCAGTGGGACAAAACCTGGACGAAGGAAAAAGAGTACAGCATGTAAATATCTCTTTGATCAATTGCTCCCCCTCATTAGTTTAACACTGAAGATCTTTTAGTTGACGCATTCCAATGTTGTGCACCAACTTCTTGAATGTTGTAGTTGGAAGCGTTTTAATTAATAGATCTGCTAAATTTTCACATGAACGCATCTTCTGAATATCAATATCACCCTTTTTCTGGAATTCATGTGCATAAAAGAATTTTGGTGAGATGTGCTTGGACCTGTCACTTTTAATATACCCTTCTTCATCTGTGCAATGTATGCTGCATTATCTTCATATAATATTGTTGGGCTTTCTTTTATTGGTGAGAAACCACATGTTGTTTGAATATGTTGGATTATTGAGCTCAACCAAAAACATTCCCTGCTTGCCTCATGAATTGCGAGTATCTCAGAATGATTTGAAGAAGTGGTAATCATTGTCTGTTTCATAGATCGCCATAATATAGCAGTGCCGTCATAGGTAAACACATATCTTGTTTGTGAATAAGCTCTATGTGGGTCAGAGAGATAGCCGGCATCTGCATATCCAACTAATTGAGAACTTGATACTTTTGAATAAAACAATCCCATATCAGTTGTGCCACGAAGATATCTCAATATGTGTTTGATTCCATTCCAATGTCTGCGAGTTGGTGCAGAACTGTACCGTGCTAATAAATTAACTGAAAAAATTATGTCAGGTCTTGTGCAATTTACAAGATATAAAAGAGTATCAATCGCACTGAGATAGGACACTTCAGGACCAAGGAGTTCTTCATCATCCTCTCGAGGACGAAAATGATCTTTCTTGATGTCAAGTGATCGGACAACCATTGGAGATCTCAATGGATAGGCTTTATCCATATGAAAACGTTTCAGAATCTTTTCTGTATATGTTGATTGATGGATGAGAATATCGCTCGAAAAATGTTCAACCTACAGTCCAAGACAGAATTTTGTCTTTCCGAGATCCTTCATTTCAAATTCTTTCTTTAAATAAGTAGCCGTCTTTTCGATCTCATCTAATGTTCCCACAAGATTCAGATCATCAACATATACTGCAACAATAACAAAACCAGATTCTAATTTGTTAATAAAAATGCATGGACAAATATGATTATTTACATACCCTTCTTTGAGTAAGTAATCGCTAAGGCAATTGTATCACATTCATCTAGATTGCTTCAATCCATATAAAGATCGTTGTAATTTTATCGAGTACATACTAAGTGATTTTGTTTTAGGCATTTTAAATCCTTCCGGAATTTTCATATAAATACCACTATCTAGTGATCCATATAAATATGTTGTAACCACGTCCATGAGATGTATATGCAATCTTTCAGTGACTGCCAAATGTATTATGAATCTAAATGTGGGTGCATCAATCACAGGGGAGTATGTTTCCTAATGATCAATACCAGGTCTTTATGAGAAACCTTGAGCTACCAGTCGAGCTTTGTATCTCACGATTTCATTTTTCTCATTACGCTTTCGTACAAACACTCATTTGTACCCAATAGGATTAACACCCTCAAGTGTCTGGACTACTCGTCTAAATACTTCACCTTTGGCTAATGAATTTAGCTCTGCTTGTATCCCTTCTTTCCATTTTGGCCAATCATTTCTTCGTCGACATTCTTCGACGTTTTGAGGTTCCGGATCCTTATTATCAATATCAAGAGCAACGACATATGAGAATATGATGTCGAGAACAATTTCATTTCCATTCCATCTCGTTTCATAATGAAGTGAGATCTCATCATTTTCAGGTACCTTTGCTTCCTCAAGGGCATGTGCCTCATCAAGGGTCATATCATCATCTGTTGCCTTTTCCTCATCAATATTTATTATTTCATCATTTTTAGGTACTTGAGACTCATCAAGAGCCTCTGCCTTATCAAAGACTATTATCTCAGATTGATCAATAATATCTGTTGCTCCTTTTGTGGCCTCTTCAGGAGTGCCAGCTTTCTTTGTGATTTTCTCTTACGAGGAACAATATCTTTTGCACCGACTGGTCTACCACGCTTCAGGCATGTTTTAGATGCATTTGCTGCATTACTGAGATTAGGTCCCTCAGGGACAGCAATTTGTGCTGGAACATTTGCAGCTGGTATATGTGATTTTATCACTTTCTTTGTATCAGTAAATGCATCAGGTAATTGATTTGCAACATTTTCCAAGTGAATGATCCTCTGAACTTCTCGTTCACATTGATTTGTACGAGGATCAAAATGAGACAATTCTAGGGCATTCCAAGTAAGATCACGTTACTGTTGTGCCTTTTCTTTCCCTAATGGTGGGAAAACAGTCTTATCAAAAATGACAGTCAGCAAATCGTGCTTTAAAGACATCACCCGTCAGGGGTTCAAGATATCTAATAATAAATGGAGAATCAAAACCAATATAAATTCCAAGTCTACGTTGAGGACCCATTTTAGTGTGTTGGGGTGGTGCAATTAAAACATATATAGCACAACCAAAAACTCATATGTGAGAAATATTTGGTTGTTGACCAAAAACAATTTCCAATGGTGAGTACTTATGATAAGCAGTTTGTCGTATACGAACTAATGATGTAGCATGTAATATGGCATGACCCTAGGCAGAAACAAATAATTTTGTTCGCATAAGTAAAGGACGACCAATTAACTGAAGTCTTTTAATAAAAGATTCAGCCGTATAATTTTGAGTATGAGTGTGTGCAACAGGATGTTCAACATTAATTCCAACTGACATGCAATAATCATCAAAAGTTTGAGAAGAAAATTCAGCGACATTATCAAGACAGATTGTTTTAATTAGGTAACCAGGAAAATGTGCCCGTAATTTGATGATTTGGGCAAGAAGTCTAGCAAATGCAATATTACGAGTAGAAAGCAGACAAACATGTGATCATCGTGTTGAAGTATCAATTAAAACCATAAAATAGCGAAATGGTCCACAAGGTGGATGAATTGGCCCACATATATCCCCGTGAATTCGTTGTAAAAATAGGAGAGATTCAACAATGACTTTTGAAGGGGATGGTCTGATAATCAACTTACCTTGTGAGCAGGCGGTGCATAAATGATTATTTGGTAAGATGATTTTTTGATCCTTTTAGCGAGTGTCCATGTGAATTTTCAATAATTCGACGCATTATTGTACTCCCTGGGTAACCAAGTCGATCATGCCAAAGCATAAAAAGTTTTGGGTCACAAGATTTTTTATGTATCACAACATTGGACTCAATTGTCCTAATGGTTGTATAGTATAACCCAGAAGAGAAAACAGGGAGTCTTTTTAATATCTGCTTCTTGCATGAGGTAATAGAGGTAATGTAGAGATATTTCACATTTCTTTCATTTGCGGTCTCAATATGATACCCATTACGACGCAAGTCTTTAAAACTCAACAAATTTCTCCGAGATCTTGTACAATATAAGGCATCATTGATTTGTAATCTTGTTCCATGTGGTAAAATGATGTTGGCTTGTCCGGAGCCTTCAATCAAGTCGGTGGGACTTGATATTGTACTGACACTAGCGTCTGTCAGAGTTAGGTGAGAAAAATATTTTTGAACTCGAAGGATTGTATGTGTTGTTCCACTATCTGCAAGACATATGTCTTCACCATTTATTTTGGAATTGGTCTGATCCATTCTTATTCATGCAAATTTCTTTATCAGAAAAGAAACATTTATAACAAAAAAAACTTTAATATAAACTAGAAAATAGAAACTTTAATACAAGGAAAACAAAAACATAGTAGACTGAACATGAAAAGTAAATAGAATTAATTGGTATGGACATTTCCATCACCAATCAGGAAGTCCATCTTTCCATCACGGTCTTCAAAAAAATTTGATACATCCAGATTTGTGATGTCAATTGGCTCATCATGATTAATGAAATTCATTTCCAGATTTGTGATGTCAACTGGCTCATCATGATCAATAAAATTCATTTTCTTTTGTTTTCCCTTTTCTTTCATTGAGGCTTAGTAAAGTTCAGCCAGATGCTTAGGTGTACGACAAATGCTTTACCAATACCCTGTCATGCCACACCGATAACAAGTATTATCATGTGCCTTGAGAGATTGAGCCACATCCTTCCCTTTTACTTGCTTTATTTCATTATAATCTCTCTTTTGAGGATATGGTGTGGATCTCTGATTGCGAAAATGTGAGATTGATATCCTTCACGGTAATAAGAAGGATTTCTACCACGACCATATTCATTATTGTGGTGGTTATTTTTACCACGACCATATTCATTATTATAGCCATTTCTACCACCACGACCACGTCCACGACCATGGGATGAGGCAACATATGTTTCAGGGATCGGTGTCGATCCAGTTGGACGAGACTGGTGGTTTCTTAACAAAAGCTCAATTATTTTGCTCTGCCACAAGTAAACATGATATTATTTCTGAATATTTTTTAAATCTACGCTCTCGATATTGTTGTTGTAAGAGCACATTCGAGGCGTGTTTTTTCCAACAAAAGTTCATCAGTAATGGTATCATTACACAATTTCAGTGTAGAGCTGATTTTAAATAGGGTAGAGTTATATTCAGTCACAGTTTTAAAATCTTGCAACCGCAGTTGCTGCCAATCAGCTCGAGGCTTTGGGAGGATAACTATTTTTTGATGATCATATCTTTCTTTCAAATTGTTCCACAAACACAGTGGATCTCTTTCAGTGAGTTATTCAGTTTTTAGCTCCTCACTAATATGACGCCGAAGGAAAATCATTGCTTTCGCTTTATCTTGTAATGATGCATCATTCCCTTCTTTAATTGTGTTTCGAAGGCCCATGGCATCTAAATGGATTTGAGCATCCAGAATCCAAGATAAATAATTTTTGCCAGAAATATCCAAGGCCACGAATTGCAGCTTTGTCAAGTTTGATATTTTCATAATAACTAGACGTAACAATATAAAAATATAATTTAGAATAGTATATAAATAAATAAAATGACATTAAATGAAATAATAACATAATATGAATTATTTAAATAACAAAGGTGGTAAAACTAGTTATAGTGAATAAATTATTAATCAATAAAGGCAGTAAAAACGGCCATAAATTATTAAATAATAAAGGTGGTAAGACCGACCATACTTAGTAGATTATTAAATAATAAAGGTGGTAGAATCAACCATAGTGTATACATATATATCATCTAAGTGAACAAATTTATTTTATGAATAATAATCCATAATTAAAATTTTCTTACCCTTTGGAGTCAGAAATACTATTTTCTTCGATAAAGCAAACTAACCCAACAATCTATCAAAACTAATATCACAAAATAGATATATAGTTGGGATAGAAAGAGGGAGAGAAAGTTTCTTCTTCAAATCTCAGATGGGTAGAGCTCGTGCTGATAATGTGTAATAAATATAAATTAAAGTAAATATTAATACAAAGAACAAAGAAAGAGATAAGAGAGAAAGTTGTAAAGATAGAGAGAGAGAGAGAAAAAAAAAAAAAACTGTTTGTTTTTTATTTTTTCACCATCTGTTGTATACAGAGAAGCCTATTTATAGGCATACACTGAGGCTTCCCTTGTAAGCCATTCTTACAATCTTCCTTCTCACGCCAAAATTGGACCCCCCCTCCCCCACACACACACATAACATATTTATATTAGTAAAACACAAGTGCATTGTTATTTTATAATTTTAATTAAAATGTTTATATAAAAATTATTAAAATAAATTTACTTTTTTAAATATTTGATTAGTAACTCTTTTGAGTAATTAAAATTTTAAATATTTACGAAGCAGAATGTGTTGTCAAGGTTAAAATTTAAAAGTAAAACCTCAAGTTTAAGGGGTTATAATTATTTGTATAATATGTGTATAGGGTAAAGTGTAAAAACTCTTTGAACTTTACTCTCTCTTCCTACAAAAACCCCCCTGAACTTTTATTTTTACAATTAACCCCCTAAACGATTAAAATTGTTGCAAAAATTACCCACCGGCAAGCTTCTGTTTGGTTCCTCCGGCTAAATTGGCCCGTGAACATTAGGATGTAATTTTAAAATGACAAAGCTACCCTTGCTACCTTATTACCTTGTTAAATGTATAAATAAAACAAAATTTCCAAATTTGGCGATACTTTCCTCATTTTTTTTTTTTTTTTCAAATTGCGAGATCACCAAATTGAAACCCCAATCAATCATCGAATGTTGAAATCCTATCCCTACCAAATCGCCTTCTCTATTTGGAACGTTTGGAATAATTGAATGTGGAGACCATAAAACAAAATTTTCCAAATTGATGATACGTTATAATTTTTTTTTTTCCCCCAAATTGAACCCCAAATCAGTCGTGGAAAGTTCAAATCCTATCCCTACCAAATTGCCATCTTTGTTTGAACAATTGAATGTGGAAAAGAGTCGGACGCCTCTATCTCCCTCTCGTTTCACCATAGAAATCCAGAAATCATATAATTTGTATGCATTACAAAGATTTCTTTGTTTACTTCAATTAATTTCTGATCAGCAATCTCATTCCCGCTCTAGATCTACTGATACATCAGCAGCACTGAGAATACATCCCTCGCAATGTGGTCCAGGCCGTCATCAGCTACCACCATGTAAATCAACTACTGGTTGGTGCAAAGATAAGGTAGATGATTTGATTGTTTTCTTCGCTGTAATAGACTGGTTGGGTAAAGTGGAGAGAGAAAGTTTGTTGGCACCGAGGAGGGTTCGGGGCGATTGGAGGTGCGATTGGAAGTGCAAAATCAGAAGCCTGAGATCGTTAGTGCCGTGACGGCTAGAAGAGAGAATAAGGTTAGAGAGAGAAAAGTTACGGCAAAACTCATTTTTATGGCTCCTAAGGTTTGGTTCTTAAGTTAGCGGGGTGTTGTGAGAAGAAGGAAAATGGAGAGGGTTGGGGTGGCTGGGAACCGTGGAGGTTGGGGAAGAAGAATTTGTGGGAGAGGGTTGGTGGCGGCCATGAGCATGGAAGGAGGAGTACTAAAATGAAGTGGGGAATATGTGTTCCACACAAAGTGTGGGATGTTGTTTTGTGATAAACGATGAGCTGTCCAATTCTTATTGGTTGTCAAAATTTTGTTTTGACACATCAGCATCACAAGTTTATAAAGCACCAAAATGACGTAGTTTCAGTAAAGGATAATTTAGTAATCTTTTTTTTTTTTTTTTTTTTTTTTTTTTTTTTTCCAGTACCAGAAATTTCACTGTTGTCCTCAACTGCAACTTTTTAATAGTTTAGAGAGACACTTATTAAATCAGGGGGGTTTTGTGCAAATGCCTGAAAGTTCAGGGGGTTTTTTTGCACTTTACCTTATGTATATATTTAAAAATTTATAGCCAAGGAAATATATAATATTACAAAATTTATTTATTTAGTTAATAAATGCTGACATGACATGATTAAATAAACACAGAAAAATAAAAAATAAAAAATAAAAATAAATTAACAATTCAAAGAATAAAACATATTAAAAAAATATAAAAAAATAAATCAACATGATTAATGCAATTCAAATAATAATGTACCAGTAATAAATCAAATAATTTTGAATCATACTACAAAATAGATCAATCAAAATAAATTAAGATATTTTTTAAAAAATAAATGGAGTCGTGAAAAAGAAAAAATCAACGCAATTCAAAGAAATTATTACCAAAATTGAAAGAAATTATAATCCACCGGTAATAAAATAAAGAATTTTGAACCGTGTTGCAAAACAGATCAATCTAAATAAATTAAGATATTTTTTTAAAAAAATAAATGGTGACATGACATAATTAAGCAAACACAAAAAAATAAAATAAATTCACATTATTAATGCAATTCAAAGAATAATACATAATTTTAAAAAAATCAACATAATTAATGCAATTCAAAGAATAATGTACCTGTAATAAAACAAAGAATTTTGAATGGACCTCAATCAGAAATCTAACATAAATTAGTATTGTAATGTCCATTTTGTCCTTTTACTCTTCCAAAAATGTCAAGGGGTATATATATGCTAGTAATCTCATAATATAGGGGTGTTATATACACATTACCTTGTATATATATTTTTGAAACTTTTTTCTCAATATATATCTCAATTTTTTTTTTTTTTTTTTTTTTTTGAAACTTTGAGAATTAGTATAATAAGGATTTTAATTTTATAAGATTTTAGTTTACTGTTTTCTACTATTTTTTTATTTTTTATTTTATTTTTTTTGTTACCAACATTGTTAAACCAAAAAAAAAAAAAAAGGGTAAAAAAGTCTCAATATCAATGTGCACTAGTTTTCGGAGTTTTGAGCAGATTTGTTTTCTTTAGTTTGCCCTTTATTTTCATTTTTTATTTTATAGTTTTATCTTTACTTTCTTTTATAGTTTTATACTTTTATTTTTATTTTCTATTTTTATCTTTACTTGTCCATTGTCTGCGTTCTCCAATAGTGTCATTTTCGGTCATTTTAAATAGTGTCATTTTCGGTCATTTTACAAATTTATATATTTTATAAAATGGTTTAGTAAGGGTAATTTAGTTTAGGGTTTTAATTTGTCAGAGGCCGGGACCTATTTGCACAAAATTGAAATTTTAGATGTGTTTTTTGCATGTGAGGAGCGTCCTCTAATAGTGTCATTTTTTATCATTTTACAAAATTATTTACTTTTATATTTTTTATAAAATGGTTGGTAATTTAGTCAACTTGGGGTTTAAATTTGTCAAAGAGATCTATTTGCACTAAATTAAAACTTTAGGAGTATTTTTTACACGTGAAGTGTGTGAAATGCACTGTAAACATACTTTAAGGGTGTTTCCTGCATTTGACTCTATATTTAATACATAACGATAATTTGATTCACTTTTTAAGATAACACATAAATGTAATGCATGAAAGGTATTAGTTGTGTTTTAATATTAGAATTTGGAATGATTGGTGGCCGGAGCTAAGAGAGAAGAAAGATGTGGATGACAGATACATAGATGGGACTAAAGAGAGGAAAAACAATAGACATGTTGGGTTTAACCCTAAAAAAATGAGTATAATCCTTGTTTTGTATTTTTTTTATATTTAAAATAGGTGTCAACCTCTTATTGGGACACGATAGTATGTAGGACAAAATTTGTCCTGATGGGGCAGAATTGAAGTATTATCCATAAATATTAGTTATAAAATGGGACTAAGTATAAAAAACACCCTTAAAGTATATTATGCGTAACACTTTTATCCCATATATGAAAAAGTGTACAAAAAACACCCCTAATCGTTTCATATTGTGCAAAAATACCCTTCAATCAGAAATTTGACATAAATTAGTATTGTAATACCCATTTTGCCCTTTTACCATTTCGAAAATGTCTAAGGGTGTATATACGCTACTAATATCATAATACAGGGGTGTTATGTGCACATTACCTTATCTTTTTTTAAAAAAATTTTTTCTCTATATATATCCTTAAACATTTTTTATTTTTAACTTTGAGAATTTGTAAAACAAGGATTTGAATTTTTTGAGATTTCAGTTTTTGTTTTCTATTAATTTTTTTTCTTTATTTTAATTTTTTTCGTATCAACACTATTAAAATAAAAAAAAGAGGGGGGAAAAAAATCCCAATATCAGCCTGCAATGGTTTTCAGAGTTTGGAGCAAATTTGTTTTCGTTAGTTTGCACTTTATTTTCATTTTTTATTTTCTATTTTTATCTTTACTTTTCTTTTATATTTGTATTTATATTTATATTTTCTATTTTTATCTTTACTTGTCCATTATCAGTGTCCTCCAATAGTGTCCTTTGCGGTCATTTTACAAAATTATTTATTTTTATATATTTTATAAAATTATTTAGTAAGGGTAATTTAGTCAACTTAGGGTTTAAATTTGTCAGAAGGACCTATTTGCACAAAATTAAAACTTTAGAGGTTTTTTTGCTCGTGAGGGGCATCTCCTTTTCAGTCATTTTGCAATATTTATTTTTATATATTTTATAAAATAGTTTAGTAAGGATAATTTAGTCACTTTATAGTTTAAATTGGTGGATAGGCACTGTAAACTTACTTTAGAGTATTTTTTGTACTTGACCCTTATAAAATATTGGCAATTGAGAGAGCGAAATTTGTAAAAGTAGTGGTGAGAATTTTGTAATAAAAGACTATACTGAATAAATGTTTATTATTTGTTAGAACTTAGAAGTGTGGATTTTTTTATTTTATTTTATTTTATTTTTTTTATGTTATAAAAATTTTATAGCACACCTATATATATGTATATATATTTCTTTCTAGTCGGTACTTTTCCATCGCGAGTGAGTTGTAGTGTATCCCAAAATACAAATGGACGGTGAATGCTTAAGCTAAAAAAGAAGGGACTCTTGGTATGGGTACTTTTGCTTTTCCGCGAGAAGCGAAGTGAAAATTGGTTCTTGTTCTCCCTCCCACCCACCTACCCTCTAAAGACGTCATGGGCTAGCTTGTGTTGGTGTTGGTGTTGGTGTTGGTGTTGGTGTTGGTGTTGAAGTGGAACAAACTCGAATCTGAAGAAGCAAAGAAAGTGGTAGCTGCCAGATAACAAGTGAGTTACCACCCCTAACTCAACTGCATTTTCATTTTAGGGCTTGATTTTAAACGATTAGGTACGTAATTTTATGAGTTTGTAATCGGTTCGATTTTTTAGAGTAATCATCCCCCTCCTCGGTCTTTGTAGGACATTCATACCACATTATTCCAATATATTGGTGTATTATGCTTAATTTGTGCATTACATGTTGTAATTATGCCTTGATTCATTCAATCTCTAGTGACAGACAAAATTACACCCAAGAATACTACTGTTCTTAATTAGTAGGGCAGGACCAGGCCATTCTAGTGTTTATATATATATATACACACACTACACTACACACACCCTGTATGTATATGATGTATAATGTATATTGTGAGTGCTGTTGTATGATATGGAATACGTACAGAAACGGATCATGGAATTAATTATATCTATAATTGACAGTTACAGTTTAGTTATGGATTACAACGAGGAGGAAACGGGTCTTCAAGAAATAGAAATAGAAATTGTTAAGAAGATGATTAGAAGAAATGATTATGTGGGTGCTAGAGATAAGTTGCTGAAAGTGCAACATCATTTTCCAGCTCTTGTTAACAACATATCTGAGATGATCTGCGTCTGTGACATACTATGCACTGCAGACTTTAATAATAAGTTGTCAGATTATGGTACGGACTGGTACCAGGTTCTTCAAGTCAATCCTACAGCCAGGGAAACCCAAATACAACATCAGTATCGTAGAATCACTGCTCTTTTACAACAACCTCCCATTAACAACTGCTTCCCTGGCACTGCATCTGCTTTGAAAATCATCCAGGATGCCTTTTCTGTGCTTTCACATCCAGAGAAGCGCCCACTTTTTGATTTGGAAAGGGCTACAAGTTTGGGTGCTTATGAATCTGCTGTGATTTTCCAGAAAAGCTTTGATGATTTGGGTCAAATTTCATTTCAGAGAGAATATAGTTCAGCACCTATATGTAAAGGAGGAGCTACTTGTGAGACATTGGATGGTAATGGTATCCATCATCATGTGTGCTGCCCACTACAACAATTTCAATTTCAATTTCATACACATCAATATGCGATTCCAGCCCCAGGTAGAGAGTTGGAGGAGGAGGAGGTTGTTCATAGTGCTGAAATATCTACTGGAAATGAGCTGGACCCCTTGGCCGCCATTCCTGATGCTCTGAAAAACATGGCCCAGGAAGAAACATCAGAAAATGGAATTTCTAGTGAGTATTCTTCCTTAACCCACTGTCCCCTATTTTCCCCACATACACCAGAATCATCAATAAAATTCAGATGGTCAGCAGAACATGTTGCTTCAGAACAAATATGGGCTGTATATGATGGTCCTGATTCTATGCCTCGTCGCTACGTTGTAGTGAACAACCTAATTTCAGATAATGAAGCTTGTGTGACGTTCTTGGACCCTCATCCCATGCTTGATGATGAAATCTATTGGGTTGAAGAGAACCTACCTTTTGTTGTTGGGTTATTTAGAGCTAGTACAACTACTCTCAATTTAAGTATAACTCACTTCTCACATTTGATTGACTGTGACCCAAGTGCAAACAAGTCTTTCTACAAGATATATCCCAAGAAAGGTGAAGTTTGGGCAATGTACAGGAACTGGAATAGCAGATGGAAGCAATCGGACTTTACTCACTACCGATGTGAAATTGTTGAAATCATTTCAGATTTGATCGACAAGGATTCTGAGCTCAAAACAGCCAGCTTAGTACCACTGTCAGGTTGCATGACATTTTTTCGTAGGCAATTGTCCAATGAATTTGAGTTGGTCCGCACCGTTCCAAGAACTGAGATGCTTAGTTTTTCTCACCGAATAGTGGCTTTCACTGTTCCAGGTATCGAAAAACATGGTATCCCAGAAGGCTCGTTGCACTTAGAACCCAATGCATTGCCTCTCAAATTTGGTATGCAATTTTAACTCTAAAAAGTTTTAAAGGAAAGTTCTTATTGGGGTTCGAGTGAGCGAGTGCAACTACTTCAAAAAGGATAAGGATATTTCTTTATCATGAATTATGTAATAAAAAATTGACCCATGGCTGTGTTGTAGCTAATGAGCTGAAATGGTGGAATTCCCTTGCTACATAAGTTCCTGTAGTTTCGCATCAACCATGACCATATTTTGGCACCATGGTCTTCGCAGCAATAAGAAATGGATGAGTACGGTAGCAAGTTACTGGCACTACTCCAAGGAAAGGTCTCCTAGCCCTTTGGGGTAAAGCTTCTAACCTCTACATATCCACTTATTTGGCTTCTTTCCCTCGTGATATCTCCTATAACATATTTTGGGCAGTCTTTCCCTCTTTATATATCGGCGCCCTATCCAGTAGTCTAGACTTTACCAACATTGACAACCCCATCTCAGCTCTTCTTTTTAGAAAGCGGCCTTAGAGAATAAAATGCAAAATTGTTACTCTCATCCTTTCTTACTCGGCCTTAAAAGATTTATAACAAGCCACCACACCAGTACTCGGCCTAGAATGTTTAAAGCATAATGGAACAGCAACGGGATTCCATCCATACTTGAACAGGATACTAAGAGACATTTTGACGTGGAAGGGTACGTACTAGCAATAAATATCAACCCAATTATGACCGATGACTACAAAGATTTGGGAAGTTATATGACCACCAGCAGCAATTTAGATCAAGCACGCTTTCATTTTAACAACTTTTATGTACGGATTCACATATTGTCAATCAGGCATCAGGACATACCCTTAAATGTTTTTTCTTATCTATCTTCCGGTACTCTGGGCGAGACTGAATTAATTCCATCCAACCACCACAAAACAAATGTACCACTGGTTTATGCTTCTCTTATTTCACTTGAAAAAAAAAAAAAAACACACGCACCACCCATAAGTGTACTTATTGTCCCATTACTTTATAAACAGCTCAGTTACAAATAGGAAAAGAGTATACAGAATATATTAGCCACCAGAGTTCCCTATCCAATTACAGAGATCATATATGAATTCATTCACTGACGCCATCTAAACGGTCAAACAGGCTCCATTCAAGGGCGTTCGACCTGAAGTTTTCAGTAGCGCCGACCACCAGCCGTTGACAGGAGTACTCGACTTGATTTTTTCCCCTTCTTTCCAACCTCATTCATCTTTGATACATCTTCACCTTCAACAGATTTTGCTCTGGATATTATATTGGCAAATGATGGCGTGCCTGCGTTTCTCATTCCTACAAATACGCATTCCAGTAAATGAAACAAAAATCAAGCAACTTACAGAGAAAAATGAAAACATTACTCATTTCAATCTCAAGCAGTAAAGAAGAATAAATGATGGCACAAGAGACTACCGGTTACATTAGAAGAATCACTTGCACCACGAATTATAGGAAGCAAATGAGCTTCCTCAACTTTCAAAGCTGGAGAATCATGCCCAGCAGCGAAACCAAGCCTTGCAATGTTTGAGAACAGTTTCCTTTCTCCAACAGTTGGAGGACTTGATGATGTTACAGGGCAACTTCCCAAAGCTTAAAATGTGCAAAGAAATAATATAATAATCTATCAATGAATTAATACAAATAAAAATTGTCAACTTATATTGTCAGCAGTTCGAGTAACATGTAAAGAAACAAAGAGTAGAAGGCATTTTGAGTTTTCAACGGTCCCCTGGGTTGAACTTATGTTGTGTTTGGTGTGCAGGAATGAAATGGAATGCAAATGTGAATGGAATAGAATGGTCATTCTCATTCTATTGTTTAGTTGCCAATATGAAATCTATAGGAATGGACTAATGCAAAATTTTGAAAATAATGAATTTCAAATTGAATTTTCCAAAATACCCCTGTTAGTGACAAATAATTTTAATTGACAAAATGACATTAAAAAATGGTGGTAATGGTTGATGGTGGTGGCTATGGTAGTGGAGGTGGAAAACAGTAGTGGTGTAGATGGTAGTGTTGGAAGGCAAGAGGGAGCAGGGCGTTGGTAGAAGGCAACAATAGTGGTGATGGTGGAAGGCGTCATTGTTGTAGGTTATGATGGTGGAAGGTAGTGGCGGTGGCGGTGGCAGTGGCGGTGGCATAGTGGTGATGGAATACGACAATGGTGTGGGTGGTGGAAGGTGGCGGTGGTGAAAGGTAGTGGAGGTGACAGTGGAAGACAGCAGTGGATTTCGGTGGGAGGTGGTGGTGTTGATGGAAGTCGGTGGCGGAAGGTGGTGGTGGTGGTGGCGCAAGTCGGTGGCGGAAGGTGGTGGCGGTGATGGAAGTGGCAGTGGCGGTGACGGTGGCGATAGTGGTGGAGGTGGAGGTAGAGGTGGCGGTGGTGATGGAATTTGGTGGCGGTAGAGGCAGAGGCGGAGCTGGCGGTGGTGCAAGGTGGTGAAAGTCAATGGCGGTGGAGGTGGAGGCGGTGGTGGTGGTGGTGATGGAAGTTGGTGGAGATGGCGTTGGAGGTGTTGATAGTGGTGGAGGTGGAGATGGCGGCGACGGTGGTGGTGGTGATTGAAGTTGGTGGCGATGGAGGTGCTGATAGTGGTGGAGGTGGAGGTGGTGGTGGTGGTGGTGGTGGTGGAGGTCGGTGGCGGTAGTGGTAGAGGTGCCGGTGGAGGGCAATGGAGGCGGCAACAGTGTGATGGTGGTGGAAGATAGCTACGGTGGTGGTGGTGGCAATGACGATGGTGGACGTGGTGGAAGGTGGCGGTGATGGTGATGGTGAAGGCGGCGATAATGGTGTGGTAATGGTGATAGTGGTGGAAGGCAGTGGAGGTGGCGGCGGTGCGTTGGTTGAAGGTTGCAACAATGGTGGTGATGGCAATGACAGTGGTGGAAGACAATGAAGGTGGTGGTGGTGGTGATGGTGAAAGTCGGCGGTGGTTGTGGTGGGAAGGTGGTTTTTGGACTTGAAGCATGATGGTTTTTTGGGAACTTGAATTTAAAAAAAAAAAATTATTTGGGAATGGAATGGCCATTCCCACTTTAAATTGCATACCAAACAAAGGAATGGACATTCCATTTCATTTCATTCCTTCACACCAAACCTAGCATTAGTTCAATTTAGGAACCATTAACACCCAATACACTAAAAATTGACAAATCGATCACATCAGCGTCATTTAGATGCTCGTCTTTAGAAATTAGTAATTCCTGGTAAATTCAACATAATGAAACCACCACACATATAATAGAACTAATCCCTACCATGCCATGCAAAACTTCATGTTCAGCACAAGTTCTAAATTCAATTGATTTCCTCTTTAAGAAGTACAACTAAAACTCCTTCGATTTGAACATTATTAACATCAAAAGTTACTCCGAATATAATCCTTAAAGTTCATGCAGTTACACTCGACTGACATCCAGGAGAAGCATAACATTACCTTCAAAGTCATCCACAGAGAAAGTTGGGGGATCATCATGAGAGGACTGTGCAAAATTAAATGGTACCGGGACACAATGTGTGGCAGCAACTTCAGCCTTGATCTTCTCCTCCCGTTCCTGGAAATAAAAATATCATGAGGAATCTAAACAGTTCCTTAAGCATTAATGCATTAGTTGCACACCCTGATATGAAAAACTGAGAAAATTTTGCAATATAGAACACACTTTCCAAGTATCAAGAAATGCCAGGCACAATTATATTTATACAGTAAAGTGTATGTCCATGCACATGAAACTTATTGCCGGATCTGAAGTGTTTCATTCACAATGAATTACAGAAGGGACGAGGATAATCTTAATGTGAACACTAAATTTAAAAATTGAAATAATTTTCATGAGAACATAGACCTTTTTTTATTTTTATTTTTATTTTTATTTTTTTCATCACAGGTACACCTGCAGCAAAAGGCATACATTGTGTCTGATAATAACAAGACTGAACGTGGTGAGCAAGCAGTTGTGTCCCATACATTGTGTCGACATAGGCACTCGAGTGCCAACACACGAGGTCATGTAAAACAAGTCTTCAATACTAGATAAGCTACAATGGAGTTCAGGCAACTGAAGGATAGTTGTATTACAATTGTTTTGCATGTAGATCGTGTTGGATACATAAAATCTAGTGTGGCACAAATACCTATAACTGACCAATATCAATTCCCCACTTTATGCGAACTAAGCATGTGGTAAAATCTGGAGCCAAGAGGTCCGTAAATATTTCAGCATGAAAAGGAACTTGATTTGGCAGAAAGTAGAAATGCATTTCCAAATCCAATATACATGTCCAATGGCATCGTACCAGTACCAGGAGCAGTTCTTGCACAACCGTGAAGGTTTAATGCATAAACCAGTGTCCTAAAGAAAGAAAGAAAAGAAATGCTGCTAAGGAGTCAAATGTGATATCCAATCTCAGAAGATGTCTAAAGACATGAACTACCAAACTTTTGTAACCACAATGTCTTAGGAGCTCTTGATATATTTTTGGCCATTAAACACCTACAATGTACACATAAAACATAAATATTTTAACAAGTATTCCTAGCACATCCCAACCAATCATTAATTAGAATTTGAATGACCAAGAAGCAAAGCAGAAAAAATGAACAGAAGAAGTATGTTTTTTTCTCTACCTCTGCAATATGAATTTAAACTAAAAAAAAAAAAAAAAAAAAGCAAAATATACAAATTATTAAAAATAACATACCTTTCTGGCAACCCGCTTCCTCTGCTTTTCCCGATTTTTTATTTCATCCATAAATGGAGAAAAGGCATCAGGAGGCAATATCTCGCTGAGACCAATTTCACAAAGCTGAAGAATATGGAAATAAGTGATCAGATATAATGAAGAAACCACACCAGATTCCACAGGTTCCCATATAGAACAGGTACCTGAAATGTTGTTGTCAAAGAAAAATGGCTTAGGTAACGATAGCGCCTCCGCATGGCCTCTGATTGAGTCACTGTCTCCAACTGCAAAATCTTTCCACTAATTCTGCATTTCATGGACAGTAGTTAATATGGAGAGAGATGATGGTTATTGTAGAAAATAACAAAGAAATATTTCTTCAAAAAAATATCGAACAAAATAAGAAATTGTTTTGCAACCAATATTTCAAGAGTAACGGAAATACCATGCAAAAGCCAACATGTTATGGTAATTTATTGTTTTCTAACATGGCATAAAAGTCCAATATGATACTAGCACACAGTTATAAACAAGCATAACAATTAACAAGAGCACTACATAACACGGAGATAACTACTCTAAAACTTTTCCATGACAGTATCTTAATCAATAGGAGAAGTGACATGGACAATATCTCCTACAAGGAAGATTACAAGTAAATTCATAAAAATCAAAGTAAGACATATGCATAGGCAAAAGCTCAATGCATTAGAAGATCTGTGCACTTACAACCTTTGTATGCCCACTCTCAGTAGATCACAGCAATCAACAGTTAGATTAAAAAACCTAGTAGTTCTATAAAGAAATCAGCAAGGTATCAAATTCAAAATGAGCCAAATAAATCAGACACAAAACTTAATTGGAGTAACTCATAGATAATATAGACAGATAGTAAGAAGTAGGAGGTAAAAGGGTCGAATCGGATAAACCTGGCAAGGGCCCAGTGGGGGCAGCCGCCCCGACTGGTTTTTTTTTTATTTACAAAATTACCTATAATTTTTGTTTAAATCTAAAAAACGTTCCCACTCAATTTTTGATAATACCCACTAGATATTCTTCTTGTTAAAGTCCGTCCCTTCTCATACAATTTTTTGGGTCCATCACCGAGTGGGAGAAGGGAAAGCAGCAAAATCCATGTTGATGATCAATGTCAGCCATAGCCAAACAACTCTGCTCTGATTGTTGAAGTTTCAATATGATTTAGGCAAGGGCAAGACATAAACAAATTTGACAACTTTCCATTGAGGGGGGAAAACATAAGACAGTGAGGGGGGAAAACGTGGATGAAATCCATGCCTACTTCCAAGACATCTATGCTTCAGTCATTGAAGCATCTGTGAAACATAGAACAGACAAGCAAGAGAGAGATCTGACGCGTATGTGGAATCCATTGACTGCTGCTTCTCTCCCACTCCTCAAGCTACAATCAATCCTCTTTTCTTGTGACATCTCTATGCAGATGTGATATAAACTCTTCTATCGCTCAGTAACTGCGACTCAACTTCTTCCCTTTCTTTATAATAGTGATTCAAAATCAAAAGATCTACATCTAAAACACAATTTAACAAAACCCTTCTGGCAACAGTTGTTCAACCCTTCCTTTCTTTTTGTATTTTTCTAAAAAAAACCTCGTAATAATTGATTCTTTGCAACAATCACTTAAAACGAAACAAAAAAATAAACATTTTACTAGTATAACTTACGAATTTTCTATACAATTCAAAACTCTGCATAAACAAAATATGTTTTAACACAAATAACAAAATCTACCAATTCCATTTATGCCCTGCATAACAATTAATAAAATTCTACATCGTACAAGACAAAGCATCTGCAAACAGGCAACGCTCTAATTCTTATATTAAGAGTATATATTGTGTTAAACTTTTAGTTAGTCTCAAACCTGTGTGGAAGCATCTCATAGCTCCCATAATGGCGTAGAAGACACTTCATGTTCAACGGATGAAGGATGAGGTGCTGACCATCAACTGCCTGAAATAGCCAAATAAATAGAGCATAAATAACTCGATTGTACCATACATAAACTATAGGATGAGAATATTGGCGCTTCTAGAGGCACCCACAGGACATAAACAACTACCAGCTTAAGATAATTCACGTAACTAAAAAAATTATCCATAACAAATTATGGTGAATGGCTGAATGTCGGTCACCAATACTATCCAAAAAGCTTCTGTCTCTCATTACCACCATTGAAATGGTGTTCGTGAAATCAACAAATTGCAAGTGAGCAATCTCATTTTGATAATTAACAAAGCATGTCACAGTTGTCAAAGTGTCTTATTTATCCTAACTAATAATCCAATGCTTTCACAAGTGGAAGAGTCCATTTATGTAATAAATTTCTTACACTTGAATACTTGCACCATTTGCTATATATTTTGCTTTCTTTTTTTTTTTTCTTTCAAACTTCGTTCCATGACTGAATTGTCTTGGCTCCCGATCAAGACACAGATGCGACAAGGGTGCTTTTAAATTAACTGGATCATTACAGTCACCTCCCAGTCATGCCATTGCCTAGTTCAATGAAACATTAGTGCCATTTGTGTGGGTTCGAGCCTTAGAGCAGTCACTTTGTAAAACTCCAAACTCTAGGTCTGTCTCAAGTCCTCCCTTCCCAGGGCCTTGTTATATTCATTCCAGAACTAACTAATGTCCACAATCACCTTATTCTGGGGAAAAGACAAAAAAAAAAGGAGGACAAATATGACTAGAGACTTTAGTCCAGAGTCCTGATGTATATAAATTCCTTTTATTTTTTGGTTGCAAATCTAATTAATGGCACTGCATCCCTATCAAGCAAAGGCATGAATACAAAACACAGATACAACACAACAAAAACATGCTGTCAAAATAAATCTTAAGCACAGGGCACAAAAACGACAAAAAATAAGACAAATGAAGATGTAATTTTTTATTTGGCATCATACTGCAAAAGATAAGCTTTACAACGATTAACTCTGTTTCAATAGTCGCCCCATGATCCATATACAATGACACAACGAAGGCACTGCATGTGTGTTTGTGTGTACCTAAGTATATAGATACCTACATCTATATGATGTATATACAAGTGGTGCCTCCTTCCCCCTTCCATAGCCACTTTTTAATTAACCCTTCTAGCACCTTCCAACAAATTTTGCTCTTTACAATTTAACCATGATAAAACTTCTTAATAAATTATATACAAACCTTTTAATTTAGTTTTATTTATAATTATACTTTCATCCATACCAAAAAAAAAAAAAAAAGGACATATTCTAACATCCAAGTCTCTCATCACATATTGACGAGTGTCAAGAAGCATTGAGCACCTGTCCACAATGAAGAATTTCATTTTTAAATTATTGGGAGCGTTACTATCAATGTCATTTTTAGAAGTGTTGGATTCTTTGGAACCAAAACAAGTTAAACAATATGCATGTATATAAATTTTATAAAAAAGCGAGGTCTCACTGGATACCATTTATGTACACATACAATGACCAATAACTTGAAAAAAAATTCATCTGACTGAGTTCCTAAATTGATAACATCCCTTTCTTCCACAGCTGAATCCATTAGAAAAATACTAGAAGAGGTTAAAAAAAAAAAAAAAAAAAAAAAAACAACAACAAACAAACAAACAACTATCTCAAATTCTATTACCTGGTAGAAATTGTATGAATCCCTGTCCTTTCTATCCCTAAAACCACTGGAATTGCTTTGCATATTCTTGCTATCATCGTATGAAGAAGATAAAACTCCATCCTGGTCTTCTGATGCTTCAACAACATATGCAGTTTTATCCAAAGAAGGCTCTCCATCTAACTTATTTGTAATTGGGCTCCCTAAACACTTTAATTTGTCATTGACATTAGTAGAGAGTGTTCCCCAAAGGAAGTCAGGCGCTTCATGATCAGCATTAGTAGCATTTGCGGATGGTGGATATACATGAGATCTTGTCTGACAATCACCATATTTACACTCCTTATTGCCATTATCAACACCATGCTCATTCCAATACTTCTTCCTCTGCTCTAATTGTTCCATTGCAGCACAAATATATGGAAGTTTCTCTAGGTCATCCACAAGCCCTGAATCCGCTCTAGCTAACCAACTATCAAGGTCTGATATGGCTTTTCTAACTGACAGGTCCACATCTGTTGTAAAAGTAAACTTGGAAAAGGAATCATTCATTTCCTCATTGGCATCCATCTCTTGTTTGTTTTTCAAAGATAACGTAAATGAATCTTTTTGGCGGGTTAAAAGTATAAAGTCTACAACATCACCTATGCAATGCTGTTTAACATTCTCAATATAGATGGTGTACAGATCCTTTGAAGATGTCATCATAAAACACAAGGGACACTTTTTCCAGCCTTCAAGTTTACGATCCTCTTCGCCCATTAAAAAGTACTGGAGAATACATGGGAAGCAAAAAATGTGACCACATGAAGTTATCTGTGGACAAAGTGGATCTTCCAAACATATTGGACACTGTACCGGAAACGGGGTGGAGTACTTGACACAGACAATATCCTCCCACTGTAACGTTTTATCTGGATCCATTGAATCAGGTGCATAGTTTCCAGAATGCAACATAACAAATTTATAATTTGCTTGAAGGAACAAATCTTTGTTGTAAGGCTTTCTCTTCTGCTGTCTTCTTGGAGGAGGAGCCCTTGGTTGTGGACGAGAAATAGGGTCATAACGAAAATTAAGCAAATGATTACCGTTCACAATCTGTGTCTTTCTGCCGGCTGAATGCATAGTGCGCCCTTGACAACAGCTAGACCCAGAAGTCTGTTGACTTTGTGAGGGAGCAATGGTTCCGAACAGTTCCTCACTACGTTGGGCAGATCCAGTCCCTCCTCGGCCAACAGAAGGCTTTGTGCCACTGTTTTGGTGAGCCAAGCTTCTCTTACAATTGGGTTTGACAGATTCATTCACCTAAAAGGGGAAAAAAAAGCATCATCAGCTGATGAAATTAAATACAGAAACAATCCTGTCTAAGTACATAAAATAGTGTATTAAACCAGACACAACATGCGTCACTTTTCATACTGATGGTTTTTGCAACAAGGACATTGTAAATATGCATTACACGTGTATATATAATCCTCAAAATAACAAGAAGCAAGCATCAAATATACCTTTTTGGAAGATCCACCAGAATCTTTCGCAGTTGAAGCCATCGGTCCTGTAAAGCAAAGTTACATTAATATCCACCAGAATGGGTGGAATGGAGTAATACATACGTATTACTTCATAAGGGTAATATGTATGTATTCACTTCAGTAACAATAAGTAGCACAAAACCTCAGTAAGCAGACCATTACCCCCGAAACAAACTAAAATTTCCCGCATATTATTACCTCGACATGTTGCATATACAAAGACCATTCAACTAGAATTCCCCAATTATAAACCTCAAGAATCCCATATATTTGAAAATCTTTTTATTGATTTCCAAGTGCTGCTGAAATTAGTCTCCTAATTTAGACCCAAAAAAAAAAAATTTCGAAAAAGCAAGAGCTTTTAGATTTACATCACTCAAAATGTCGAGGAACTGTAAGGAAGGAGAATAAAGGACGAACCCCCACCAAATTAATCACAATCTTTCGTTTTAAATTTTTTTAGGGTTTTTCATTCACAAATCAAATCAAGCAAAACAAGAAGGAAAAAATAAAAGACCCTAGAAAAAAATCAAGTATCACCTACCTGTAATGTTGTGGGACAAATCAACAGACGATGGAGAATTAGAGATCTGCATGGTTTGAGTTTGTTGGGGAAGGGAGTCAGAGGAGAGTTGCAGTTGTCGAAAGATGAGGAGTCCATTATCGGAATTAGGGTTTTGAGAAGGAGACTTGGACGATGAAGACGACGATGTTGAAGCTTGATTTTGCGAGGAGGGCAAGATGGACATCAAAATTTCGCCAAGGGACTTTTGAGGCAGGAATAGGAAGGAAGGTTTAGTTCAGATAAGCAATTTCGTTTCGTTTGGCCAAACAAAACAATAACATCTTCGATACAATCTATCAGATCTTCAATTAAATACCAATCCCTCCCATTCCCAACCAAACACTCCCTCATCTCCCACCGAATGTCACCGTGGTCATGCTGTCACTGTTATTATTTAATTGACCAAGGACCTCTGGGCATTAAAGTAATTTTACATCATGCAAGGCTATTTCTGAAGATTGACGTCAAGATGATTATGTAAAATTCAAGTTGAATACATTTTTCGAAATAATTTCATTCGTCACAATTTGGACAAACTCCAAAAACGTCGGAGAAATTTACACAAAGTGTTCCGTGGGTTTGGTTTAATTTTTTGAAAATAATTTTTAATGAAGATAACAAATAATAAAAACCAAAATTCAACCCAACAAATTTTTTATTGGTTATTTCCCTACCGCTTGGGATAAGTTATCCGTGTCTTGTTTTCCTGTTATTCTACTCTATCCAAAGTCATAGACTCTTGTGATGCGGAACGCTCGGTTAAAAAAAAATAATACATGCAAGAAATAAAATCTTGTGATACCACAGCGTTACTAAATTTATCCAAACTCTCTAACCGTCTGATTTTCTTTGTGCATAACCATCTTAATTAATAATTTTTTATTTTATTTTCTATCGGTGCTAATCTAACCGTCTTACTAATAAGTTCATTTATAATTTTATCATTTATTGCATTTTCACTTTCACACATTCTTCGCAACATTCATACCAGTAATCATTTTAAAATTTCCTAAGCCGTTAGGATCTAAAAGGACACCCTCACAGCTTCTCAATCCAACCGCTTAGAGGCTTACTCATTGAGAACAGTCCCCTCCCCCTCGGTAAATTAATACTCAATTATAGCTTTTCCCTTCAACAAACAAAAACAAAAACATAAAAAGAAAAGGTTTAGTATGAAATATGACTTGCATCTCTCAGTTGATGGGGTTACAAACTTGCAAGACAGGAGGATGCTCAAATAAGCATGAAGATACAAAGACATTGCAACAGCAAACCGAGATTTGCTGTTTCAGGAACCAAACATTTTGATATGATCCAAGTCAATAAAGAAGGTGCGGATTTCCATCGGGGCAAGTTCAACCACAAGTTTTGCAGGATCAACAGGTCCTCCCCTCAATACCTTGGGTTCTTCTGAAGAGCCTTCTACTTTCCAAATTAGTCTCTTCTTCTCCATTTCGGCTCTCTCTTGGTTAGCTGATAAATTCATCTCTGTCACCTTGCGGATCTGAAAAGTATTTGGCAATAAAACAAATCTCATACGTGGCTATCAATGAGGAGAGCATCTAGGAATTTTAATATATAGTTTTTACCTCCTTGTCTGGAAACAGTTTTTTCAGTTCCACACTAGTCATTACAGAATACTCTTTGTCCTCTCCGATCTTTGCCACATATGGAACACCCATAAGATTAATGGTATCATTACGAACATAAGAGCGTGAAATTAGATTAATGGTATCATTATGAAATTAAGTAAAAAAGAATCAAAGCTGATAAAGTAGCAACATGAAAACTCATTAGCAATGGATAAGGAACACCACCATCTGACGGCAATCCAGCTAGATGCATAAAATAACTTCAAACAGATGTAACAAGTTCCATTTAAAGGTTTTGAGGCAGCAGTTGGACAGTTCATCAAAGCTGTTCTCGGTTCGTACTTAACGAGCCGAGCTTGAACAATGTTGAGCTCGGCTCGTTAGGCTCGCAAACAGGCTCGTTTACACAAGGCCCATTTTATTTAAATTATTCTATTTAGTCCAGGTCCCTTATAATTCAAAGGGCCAATTAATATTTTAATGGTAAAAAGCCCATCTTAACTGTGTATATATATATTAAGTCTTCTTACTGAGCCCATTAGCCCAACTCATAGTCATACTTAATCTCAGCCATTAGATTAAGTTCTTACATAGGTACATCTAAGTCCAGATAGTTGCAACACCACCACCCTTCATTATGCTTGGCAACCAATTTGAACTCCGACAACAAATTTCACAGCCGCTGCGACAACACCCTTCCTTAGGCAACTACTCTGCAATGGAAATCCCTAAACTCCATCTGCAACATGTTATTTTTCTCGCTCTCTCTACTCTGATTGCTAATGGAATTGGTGATTGATTCTTCTGGTTGAGATTTGAAGCTGGCAAAAGGAAGGATGAAGGTCATAGATCAATGGGTGAGATTGGAAGCTGCGATTGAAGGAGGAGGAGCAATTTTTTACCTCCCAACTAGGTTAGATACAGTCAGTGTATATATATACATATATATATATATATATATATAAACACAAAAACGAGCCGAGCTCGAGCTTGTCCAAAAAGTGCCGAGACAAGCTTGGCTAGACGAAGCTCGCCCGAGCACTTCTTTCATCTAGGCGAGCTTAGCCCAAGCAACCTAAAGCTCGGCTCGGCTTGGCTTATTTGCAACCCTATCTACAGCATGGATTAGCAGTGGACTTCCACCATTTTCAAGCTTGCATAATTATTTCAAAATTTACTGCCTCCATAATAATTTGCAAAGGAAATCTATGAAAACTTTATACTAGAGAAATCATGAATTTCTTTTCGGGTTGAGAAGTAAACAAAAAATTTTAAGAATATGAGACACTGAATGTAATTAATTACCAAAAGTAACAGAGAGACTGAACGAAAAACCGAAAAAGAAAAAAAGCAAGCACACAAACCTGGGTATTCTCTACAAACGTTGGATTCTTCAAGAAGAAAAGCGAGATCACTAATAATTAAGGTCTAGAAAATGTCAATTACTTCATCACAATATGCATTTCTTTTACAAATTATTATTTTCCTAGGGAATTGGTACTTTAGATTACCATACAGAGTTCCAAGAACTACTCAGTCGATATGCACTCAAACAAGACCTGCACTTTTTGAATAGAAAATACACAAAGAAAGAAAGAAGTTGATACCTCGTATAGGTGAGCCAACCGAAGGAGTACTTTTCCACTTTCAAGTTCCTGCAATATTAATGAAAGGAACATTTTTTCATCTGGAGTAGTAAACTAAGTTAGAACAAATCTACCAGCCATCTGCATGGAGCTCTATCTACGCCCAGTACAGGAATTTAATCTGCAAAATGGCTTGTGGCGTTCCCCAGGGGCAGAACTGTTAAGAGATTGGACGCCACGGCTTTCCCCCAAAAAATTAAAATCCTATTTTATAGGTCAGCTTACAGGTAAATAGTTTTAACATAATTACAACATGGTCCCCCAAAATAGATCATGGTCCAGGGCAGAACAATGAGCTAAAATTTTTCAAAACCTTATTTTATAGTAGGTGTACTTATAGGTACTTAGTTTTAAGAAAATTGTAATATGGTACTCCAAAAAAAATATCTTTTTAAAGCATGGGCACTTCACAAAATTTCTAAACATTGTATGGGTACCAACCTGTGAGATGACTTGTAATATAAAAGAAATAATGATGATGATGATGATGAAATAGCATTCATATGCTTATGCTCAGTCTTGAGGGTATTGTATAATCATGTTCATTGTTTATTTAAGGTGTCATCAAATGTTCAAGTTAAGTTGACGAATGACTCGGGCTTCTCCACATGTGTTTGTTTAAATCTATAAAACCTCATTGCTATGAGCAAGTTAACATTTATATGACTTGGATGCTCTCTACTTGATGTATATTATGTCATGTTCTTGATTTACATTAGTCGTGATTAAACTAATTGAAAGAAAATTTTTCAAGATGTTTGTTTTGATAATAGATGGTTCTTATTCTTTAAAAGAAAATTTTGATAGGAGATACTAGATCACTTTTTTGCTCTAATTTTACACACATTTACATTTTACTTGACTAGACATAAAGCAAAATTGTTATTATTCTCCATTCTATGCATATCTATGACATAAATGGCTAGATTTTGCATGAATTTAATGGGTAATGAAATATTGTTTATAAATAATCGTATCTTAGATCTTCTTATATGTTAATTATATATATTACGGCTTTAGTTGAAGGATAAATATGCCACTGTTTATTACAATTTTTTTTTTTTCGAAAAAAAAAATTTCATGCTATTAATTTACCTGGAGGGTTAAAATTGCAATGTTGTCGGGTAAACTATAGGAAGGATCAATCCCCGAAAATATTGGCACATGGGAATTCGTCCAATTGTTTTCATCCTGCGAAAAAGAAGAAAAACTAATCAGCAAAGTGTCACGGAACCACATAATTTTTTAAACTTGAAGGTACTTTTACCTGTTCCATGAATGCTAAAAGAAGTGGAGAATATATCTCTTGGCCAAGTGTGCGACGCCACTTGGCACCTTCACCTAGAGGATCGATTCTGAGATAATATTTTCCTTGGACCTGCAAATATTAAATGTTGCACCGCTTCATAAGCAAATTAAAATCATATGGGGGCTTCCCACGTCAAAATAGAAAGTACCTTTTTTCCACACTCCCGGGAAAGCATAGTATAATAGAATGTAACTTTTTTTACACTTCTAGGAAAACATACTATATGAAGTTGTATTATTTTAAAGTGTAATACACTGACCTCCGTTGAGGTTTTCCCTAATTTGATGTTAGATCACTTGTTACAAATACCCCTCTCCGTCCAAAAAACCGTTAGTTCCATCCAAAATTTGGCATGTACAGAACGCAATGCCCATTGACCATATGAGAAGCCGCTATTAACCTTGTGATGCCCACCCCCCCCCCCCAAAAAAAATAAAAAAGCTTATTTTTACAAACAAAACTACCCTTCTCTCTCTCCACCCACCACCAACTCCATTGCCATGAGGCGTGTTAGTATATATATGTGTATATATATATATATATAACGTACTTAGCAATATCATACATATATACATATGTCGGGGAAATGGAGTTTTTAGAAAACTTTTACAGGGTTTTTCATCTTTGGACCTTGATTCATGTCTAGAAGCAATTTTAACGCAAGAAGAAGATGATACCCTTCACAAAAGTGATAGAATACTCACATAGAGGTTTAAGTAAAACTCACAATTCTCCTCAAAAGTGAATGTTCTCACTTATAGAAACTTGATCTCCACTCCTTAGGTCTCCTTCTTCCTTGTAGGTGGACTTGCCTTTAGGAATCACCAATATGCGTCCGTGAATGACCTTGGATGCTTAGCTTGTGGGAGCTCCTAGAAGATGAGTACACTCAAACCCTAATTATAGAGAGAGAAAGTATTTGGTTTCACACTCTAATGGTGCCCAAAAGGCTTACTAATAACACATGGCATACATGAATTTATAGACACACGGAGTGGAAATAACAATTCTCAATCTCTACAAATAAAAGTGATAACTCCAATCTCATGGGCGTCCAATATCGAGTTGGGCTATTGGTGAGAATCCTTTGGGCTTACTATTTTCTTGGCTCCAATGAATTAATAATTGACCAGGTCTAACTACCATGGACCTAATTTAATTAATTCATAAATTAATCTATACTCCACTAAAAGAAATTAATTGACCTCCAATCAAATAGTAATAACCACTAAGTCAATGTTACACTTTGACCCCTCTATGCATAATTAGCTATCGGATAATTAAAGTCATCAATCTGACCGCTTAATTAATATATTTATTTTGGTTCCTTGTTTATTTCCCCCCTTGATCACAATAATCATTTGTGTGACAAAAATAATAATTTAATAAAGGGTCAAGTGCAAAAAGACCCCTCATAATATGCAAAATGTGCAATTTCCCCCCTCTTGTTCGAAAACCCCCCTTACTGTTTTCAATTTGTGCAAATAAGGACAAATCATAATTTTGGTGGTAAAATTACTAAATTAACCTTACTTTATCATAATTTTGGGACTCCGTTGGACTGTTGCTCACCTTCTTCTGTCCTTGGGGATGGGGAGGGTTTATCAGGGTCCTCTTTTAATGGGGAGCTGGGGCTGGTTCAGTGGAATGGAGGTGAACCAGATTTTGATTTTGCTGTTCCTTTGGCTGTTGTGAGGCCGGAAAGGGAGTTTAAGGATGGGGCTGGTGTTGTTGAAGGTGTGGATGATGTGGAGGAGGATTGGGTGAGAAAAAGGGAGTTGAGGTGGGGTCTCTTTTGGGTGTTTCTTTCGAGGGCAGGATAGAGGAGGCGACAGGTTTGTTCCTTGATGTTCTTAATTCTCAACAGATTGAAAGGTTTTTGTAGAGGATGTGTTCAGGTTGGGGTGAATGGGGTGAATGGAAAGGGGGGTGCAGAGTCCCACGGCTTTTGTCACGTATGAAAAGAGGAGTAAGGGTCCAGGGAGAGGGACAGTGGGAGAAAGAGAGAGACTGCAAACTCATTTGTTTCCCTATGAAGCTACGAATTCTTTCATGGAATGTCCAGGGTCTCAATGACTCGGTTAGGAGAAAAGTTGTGAAGTCGGTTATTCGCAATGGTGGTGGTCATGTTATGTGTCTGTAGGAAACCAAGATTGCATCGATGACGGACTTGGTTGTTAGAACTTTATGGTGGGTGGGGGGGAGATTTGTGGAGTGGATTGCGTTGGATGCGATTGGTTTCTCGGGTGGTATTCTTATTATGTGGGATAACCGATGGGTTTCTTTGGTTGACTCTCAGGTTGGGGTTTTCTCTGCTTCTTGTGTTCTCTCCTTGGTGGAGGATGGATTTCGTTGGGTTTTTTCTGGTGTCTATGGTCCTACAGAGGATAGTGTGAGCCATTTGCTTTGGGGTGAGCTGGGAGAGGTTCAAAGGAGATGGTCTTTGTCTTGGTGTATTGGAGGGGATTTCAATGTTCTTCGATCTCCTTTTGAAAGGTCGACGAGGGGTAGGTGGACGACAAACATGGAGTCTTTTTCGGAGTTCATTGATGCCTAAGGATTGTTTAACCTGTCTTTAGTTGGTGGTCCTTTCACTTGGTCTAGTGGCCGCTCTCCTCCTACACTTTCTCGATTTGACAGATTCCTTGTGTCAAGTGATTGGGAGGAGAAGTTTTCTAATGTTGTCCAAGCCACTTTGGCTCGCCCTATTTCTAACCATGTTCCGTTGATGTTGGATTGTTGTGGGATGTGTAGTCAAAGATCCCTTCAGATTTGAGAATATGTGGCTTCGAGCTGAGGGATTTCTGGAGAGGGTTCGATCCTGGTGGGAGGGGTATGGAATGGTTGGCAACCCAAGTCATTCTCTTGTAGGTAAGCTGCGCCTCTTGAAGAATGATTTAAAAGTTTGGAACAAAGAGGTCATCGGGAATCTGGTTTGTTAGAAGAATTGGGTTCTTTCTGAGATTGTTGTTATTGATCGGATGGAGAGCCAGGGCAACTTGGTGGATTCCTTGAGAGGTAAGAGGGTGGAATGTCAAGTGGAGTTCACTGAGATTGCTGTCATGGAGGGCGATAACAACACGAAGTTTTTCCATAGACTAGCCAATGCTCATAGAAAGGCAATTACATTGGGATGATCCGGGTGGATGGGGAGGTGTCGTGTAAGGAGGAGGATATTTGCAAGGGTATTGCTGATTTCTATTCGATGCTGTTCACAGAATCTGCTGGGTGGAGACCCTTGCTTGCAGGGCTTCATTTTGATGCTATCTCGAGTGAGGAGTGCTCTATTCTGGAGGAGCCTTTTTCTGAAGAGGAAGTATTGATTGCTTTGAGGAGCTGTAACAGGGATAAAGCCCCAAGTCCAGATGGTTTTTCCATGAGATTCCTTTTGGAGTGCTGGGAGCTAGTTCGAGAGGAGGTAATGGACACTTTTCATGCTTTCCATACTGGGGGCTCTTTTGAGAAGAGTTTGAATGCCACCTTCATTGCTCTCATTCCAAAAAAAGGAGGGGTGCTAGATATCAGAGATTTTCGCCCTATTAGTTTGGTGGGGTGTATTTACTAGTTGATTGCGAAAGTCCTGGCTTCTAGATTGAGGAAGGTTTTGGACGGCGTTATTTCTGACTCTCAGAATGCTTTTGTGGGAGGTCATCAGAGGATAGGGTTTGGAGTGCGTTGGAGGAGATGGATTCTTTTTTGTATTTCTAGTGCTCGCTTCTCGGTACTTGTGAATGGAGCTCCGACGGGATTCTTCTCTAGTTTGAGGGGATTGAGACAGACAAGGGGATCCGCTTTCTCCTTTCTTGTTCCTTTTGGTGATGGAGGCTCTAAATAGATTGATGAAGAGGGCTGTTGAGTTAGGTTTTTTGAGAGGTTTCAGAGTGGGAAGGGATGCTGCTAGTCAGTTGGAGATCTCCCATTTGATATTTGCTAATGATACTTTAGTGCTTTGTGATGCGAATGCGTCACAGCTAAGGTATTTGAAACGCGTTTTGATTTGGTTCCAAGTTGTCTCTGCCTTAAGGTGAATGTTGGTAAGAGCTTGTTGGTGCCGGTTGGGGAGGTCCCAGAGATTGAGATGTTTGCTCAAATTCTTGGATGATGTCACACTGGCTCTTTTCCCATCTCTTACTTAGGTTTGCCCCTGGGGGTTCCTTAGAGGTGTGTTAGGAGCTGGGATCCGGTTGTGGATAGATTTAAGAAGAGGTTGGCGGGTTAGAACAAGTAGTACTTTTCCAAGGGGGGGCGGGGCGAGTCACTTTGATTAAGAGCAGCATTTCATGCCTTCCCACTTATTCTATCTCTCTCTTTCAGATTCCTGTTTCTGTGGCTGAGAGAATTGAGAGGTTGCAGCACAATTTTTTATGGGAGGGAAGAGGAGAGGAGTTCAAGTTTCATGTGGATTGTTGGGACCAGGTTTGTAGTCCGATCCGGAATGGAGGTTTAGGGATTAGGAGGTTGGCGCCCTTCAATAAGGCTCTCCTTGGGAAATGGTTATGGAGATTTGGGGTGGAAAGGCATTGGTTGTGGAGGAGGATAGTCGCGAATAGGTTTGGGGAGAGTAGCGGTGGGTGGAGCTCTCTGGAGGTGCGTGGTCCTAGGGGGTGGGGGTCTGGAGGTTCATTCGGAAGGGATGGGATGAGTTTTCCAAACATGTTCGTTTTCGGATCAGGGATGGTAGGAGGATCAGGTTTTGGGAAGACCCTTGGTGTGGGGAGCTTCCTCTTGCTCTCGTTTTCCCACGGCTTTACAGGATTGCTTCTGATAGGCAGGCCATGGTGGTTAACTGTTATCATCTTGATAACGGGAGACTGTCTTGGGATGTTCAGTTCAGTAGGCACTTTCAGGACTGAGAGATTGAGGAGGTCACTCATTTTTTGGAGTTGTTATACTGTCAGGTGATTGTGGATGGGGATTCTGATTGTTGGCTTTAGGACCCTAACTCTCAGGGCCACTTTGAAGTTCGGTCCTTCTTTAGGTGTCTCACGGTTGGTTCTGGAGGCTATTTCCCTTGGAAGTCTATTTGGCGCTCCAAGGCTCCTCTCAAGGTGGCTTTCTTTGCCTGAACT